GGGGTCTGATGTCTTGATATACGAGGTGGAGACGATGATTAATAGGAACTATACAAATGACCCGACACCATTATTCCTATCCATGGGTGTCTCGAATTATTTGCCTCTTGCCTTTTCCCTCTTCCTTTCGCCTCCTGATACGGAGTAGGTATCCAGCTGAATGAGAACTAGTCCATTGTTCGATGCACAGACAAGCGCGATCGGACAAAGCGCACCCACCAACACCCCCCTCCCCCCCCGAAACGGAATAAATAGACGATCTCGATGATCTCACCCTCGACCCTCCTGAGGCTGACAACGAAATGTTTCCACTGCAGTTGTGGCCATGTCACCCGACATTACCAAACCAAATTAAGCATTATTGCCCTGACATGATTGTCGGGCATGTCATGTCACTTTTTACTACTACGGATACATACGTAATCCAAACAAACCCAACCAATGACGCGCTGACTTCCGGTCCTATTGATGTTTGTTGTAGGAGGCTAGGAGTCTGACATTAAAAGCAATATCCTAACCGCCAATAGGCAATCGACAGGCAGAATCAGGGGTAGAGAGACGACCCCAGGCTATCCCGTAGTGCGGGTGAGAGAACCAAGTCCTAAAAACAGTCTTCGGGGTTGTGGACGAATTAGGGAGGTAGTACCATTGTCCTCTGTTTCCCCATGATCTCTGTGCGATGTAGGGACTTGTGCTTGTGGCACCGTGCATAGTAGTACTGGGGCCTTGTATTTGGTGCATGTGTGGATGCACATGCAATGCACATCTCGCTTGATTGTACGTTTTATTATATGATAGTATCTACGGCTTAGTAGAATGTGTTGGATGTTGCAGATAACACTGTCCCAAGTGCCAAGCTTCATAGTATACAAAGGAATTAACATAGTTTTTAGTTTCTCCGAGCCTCCGAAGACAAAGCTAGAATCCCCCGAAATCACTATACAGTGGACCAAACCGGATCTTCGTTGATGCCAAGTTCCCTAATGATGATCGCCCCTTAGTGCTAGACCCTTGAGAGTTGCGGCATTTCTTAGTCTGTTCCAAAGGAAGCATAGTACGGACGCCACCGGGACTAGTTGGATTAGTGTGAGTTATTTCGGTTCGGATTTTTCTACTTCAAGGTGCGTGCATCTGCCTATTATTACCTGTGTGGCTCTGTGCCTGTGCCTCCTGGCCTCCTGTGCCTAGTTCGAGGCGATCTTCGTATCGGCGACGATTCTAACCCCAAACGGGTCTAGGGCTGATTATTGAGGAGTAGGTACGGAACACGGAGTACGGACCACTTATTAGTGGAAATAAGAATAAAATTAAAATACGTATACCATTTTCTTCACTGTCAGTGAAACTCTACCTGACATGCCTGCAGTTGCTTATTACAATCGCTATTCACCTACCCGTTCAAGCGCCTAGCAGTTCTAACCCCACCTACTCCGTATATTAAAAAAATGTAAAATGTAATCTAATAATCCTTCTTTCGCCCCGAGTGTCTGGTATGGGTGTGCACTGTCCGTGGATGTGGGTTTCTCCGAACAAATAACAGCTAAGAGATCGACCAAGAAGTATGTTGTACGGAGGACATTGTCGATGATCTTCCAATCGAAAAGATAATGTCATAAACCGAGATCGCCCATTGCTGAAAGCGCCTTCTGGTCTACGCAATAAAGACCTAAGCCACACAATTCCCGTAAATGAACCTAGGTACGCATCCCCCCTCTTCGGAGGTTATGATATGATTTGCTATGGCATTTGTGGGGTAATTTAGATTGGAATGCCAAGCTACTTAGTACGTATGTACCAAGGTAGTTTCCTTTTCCCGTATATTAAATATTGGGTATCTTTGCTAGCCTACCCGCCAAAGCTAACCTCTTTACTTCTCGTAATCGGAGTCTAGTCGTTAACTCCCCGCGCTTAGAGGAATCCTTGGCTTGTGATGGGCTGTGCAGAATATCGATGATCTCAGATTTCGGTCCAGAACTTTCTATTCTTTCTATTTATTCGAAATAGTATTGTTTTGGTTCTTGGTCCGGTGTGCGCCTTCCTGGTTCTTCCGCTTAGACTTGGTTCTATCGGACTCTTCGGTGATTATGCTGTTTCTTGATACATCACATTCAGCGCATAACTTACGTACTTACGGAGTATTTAAGCGATATTTATTCTTAAGAGAAAGTATTATATCTCTTTCTCGCGTCTGTCTATACTTTGCAAGGCAACTAAATTGGTTATATACTGACATCTGTCATTCGCGCCAATTGAGTTTCAACAAGCGTGGCCAACCACTCCTCTGGGACCCTAATTGTGACTTTAAAAAACCAACGGAGCACTGTCCTCCGAACTATTATCTAACGTCCTACAATTCTATTAATCTATTAATTCCAGGCCGTTCTCTGTACTATGTAGATACGTAAAATAATAATCCCCATTTTCTCAAAATTCGCTCATTCTCCCTTTATCTCAAACCACAAAACCGCCGATCCTAAGTCCTTAGCTCCATGGCTCGGCTGGGGTGCATAGCCAGGCCACATGTCAATGGTTAGTGGCTGAGACCAGTGTCGGTGGTTTGTCTTGGTATGGGCCGGGCTGAGACTTATGTGCGTGGCAGTGTGGCCTGGATCTGCTGGGGATCTCCCGCGAAAGTTTTGGCCGTCCAATCGAACCCCAGTCGTAATTTCTTGGTCTTACGGGTTAGCTGGATTGGTTAGGTACGGGACCCTCTTCCCCTCTTAACTTTCGACAAGATGTTAGCCCTGGGGGTAGAGCCCCGAGAAGTAAGAGTAAAGTAGAAGTTACCGAAAACTCTCTCTAAGCCCGGAAGCCTAACCTTCTTTTTTGTTTTGTTTCTTATCTCGGACGCGTGGTGTTCCCCGGTTCTTCACATCCGTTCGTGCTGATTGGGAGTATGTTTAAATGGCACTTGACGGGTCGATACCCGAATATTGTATACCGTATACATTATTGTATGTAGATTGTATACCACCGAATCGATGGGTCAAGGCGGAGATCTACCTTCAACTGGGCGCGCTCAGTCCTCTCTCAACTTCTTGTTGGGAAATTCCATAAACCGTCAATATGGCAGACCAGTCATGGAGCAGTAAATCCAACCACAAAGTCACCGATTGCCCGGACCCGGAGAAAAAAAAAAAAAAAAAAAGAAAACCAGAGTGTGATGGAATTTGACCCGCGTCTGACTAGCTGCTCCAGACCGTGGAGGATCTTATCCTTGACTGCCGTTGGATGATCATGACCCATGGAGTTCGAGGTGGAGATCAATTTTTCAATAGCTCGTTATGGCGTGCACTGTCCATTCTCCGAGAAGAGATTAGTGGTATGCCCCCATAATGAGAGATATGACGCCCTTCAGAGGATTGGGATCCTCTTTGAGGTTCCTAAGGTTAAACCAGAACTGTCTGAGACAAAAGTCGATCATTTCTCGTATGGGGCGTCAGATGGGAAAAAGTGGGGACTGGTAGGCGAATGAACCAATGAAATGTAGAATGTAGATTATGACTTCTATGTTGTAGGTCCATTGGTCACAGCCATCACACGCCCCGGGGCAGTCCTGTACTTTACACAACTGCCCTCGACAAAGACCGACACATGCGATGATCTACTTCTCTCTCTTTTTTTCTTCTTCCAAAGAGGGCAGGTGTCTGCTGAGTCAGAATCAACCTGCGAGGTAGACTTTGGTATATTGTCCGTTGTTCTGTGTCAAAATCTACTTGGGGCTACCTTGACTTTTGGTATACGATGTCACGGAGCCCCTCCGATCCTAATCCACGGCTCCACCGGGATCACCCATGGCACGGAGAGGTGATTGTATCTTGACCTGTTCTATTGCTTCTCTGCTTTGTATAGTCTATTATTTAATTATATTAGATAGTTTATATATGTTATTGTCTACTGAGAAAATATCTTGACTATAGTACCTATGATATATAGTTCTCTAATTAAAGTGAAACTGTACCTGCTTTTCGCGGAGGGTTTGGTGAAATCATGACTTTGATGTTTCATTATCCGTATTTCTCCGCTCCCCCCGAATTCCACCGTCTCCTTTTTTTTTTTCTGTCTTTTCTTTTCCATTTTTTCTTTTCTTTTCTTTTTCATTTTCATTTTTTCTGGGTCAACCAAACCAAATTCAGAAAACGGCAAAATAAATCAAATAAAATAAAATAAAGATGGAAAATAATAAAATTCAAATTAAATTAAGCCCAAAACATAATATCGCATGTCATATCTGTCATTGATACTCCAGGCCTCAGCATTCTGTCTACCACCATCCATGTACTCTCCGGTTCCAACCCTCCGAGTTTTTAACATTAACATTAACATTAAGCCATTAGACTCCCGGGTGCCCATTACCATACTTCGTTTTCTGCAGGTTTTGAACTAGGTACTAGTATAAACTTGATATACATGTAAGAATAGGGAATAATCCAATGGTAATGGTAATAATTCAATAATCCCAAAAGATAAACTAATAATCTAATAATCTACAAAATGATTATCACTGATTTTCCCTGTGGAGATATCACCACTCAGACCTTCTCTCTCCCCCCTTCTTTTTCTTACTTCCCCTCTCTAGACTTAATTAGCCAGGGTCCCCATTTAGGTACATAGTTATTCCCTTCCCTCCTTTCTCTCAGTGGATCCCCCCGAAAAAAAGAAAGCTTGGGAATTGCCGCAACTCAAACCGTGGAACGGGTTTCTAGTAGATCCCCATCTTTTCTGATCGAATCGGTGCAACCTGTTGACTCGCTGACTTGAGAAGGCCCGTGCTTCTGTGGCCGATCACGATCCCTGGGAATTTCTCCAACTGAGGGGTCCCAACTCAAAACCCTCCTCTTCTGCTCCATACCCTGGTCGATCTCCTTTAGCTTAATTCTTTTTCCTATTTTCTTTTTCCTTTTTAGCAAAACCTTTGGAACCACTTGATCGGGGAATATATCAGTCGCAAAAGCCCCGGGGGTTGCACCTGGGATTGTATCTCTTTAACACTCTACATCATGGTGAACGGGACCGCCGCCGTGTTGGAGCCCACATTCACCGGGTATGTCGCAACCACTCAGGACGCCCTGATCCTCTTCGAGGCATGCTTGACCGGTGTCTTGCATCACGTACCGCGCCGCCCTCACGACAGAGAACGGAGTCATCTCGTGCGCAGTGGCAGCGTCTTCATCTATGAGGAGAACGCATCCGGCATCAAACGCTGGACCGATGGAGTCACCTGGAGTCCCAGTCGCATTCTGGGTAACTTCCTTGTTTACCGTGAACTGGACAAGCCATTTCCTCCTGGGGAGAAGAAGCGCGCCATGAAGAAAGCCACTCGACGACCAGTTCCAGCCGGCCGGCCTGGCGAACCTTATCCGCGACACGATAGCAGCCAAGGCTATTCTCCGACATCTCCCAGCTCGGGGCACTTCTCAGACCGTTCGTCCCATCAATCGGAGCTCGAACGGGCATTGGTTGGGTCCCTGGTTGATTCGTACGGCTTCAAGGACTCTGGGTTAGTCAAGAAGACGATGAGCGTGACGGTTTTGGGCGTGACCCACCATTTGGTCTCATACTACAGTGTGGAGGACGTGATGCGCGGCATCCTCAACCCACCCTCGATGGTGGATTCCCTACGCTTTATCCGACCCCGCACCGAACTCACCCAGAAACAAAGCTTCCGTTCTCCGATCGACGAGCTAGAGGCCAACGCCGTGGAAAACCAGGAACCCTCCCATGCCGCTCTATACGGATATCGCCCACAGATGATGGCCCCACCCACTTATGCCATGCCAAATCCTTCAAACGACTTCTACATGCACCCTAGTCCCTATGCTGCCACACATCCCCCGCAGCAAGGCCCAATCCAGGGATACTCGATGTCCGCGCCGATGGCAGGCCAATCCGCGCCAAATCCGTACCTGCCAAATCCTGGGCAGTCCGCCATCCCCCCAAAGCAGGAAGACTACCACGCGTTCCGCGCAGGGCCTTACGGCGGCAGCATGGACTCAATGAGCGCACACAGCATGGCCTCAATCCCAGGCGGCATCAACGCGGGACTCCCCAGCTCGCTCAACGAACGCAACAGATCCACTTCGGACCACAGCCCTTCCGCCTACCGCAATTCTTCTATCTCTTCGCGCAGTCAGGCAACAGACGCTACCTCCCCCATGGATCCTTCCACCCCGGCCACCTACTCCCGCGGCAGCTTCAGCCTGTCCGGCCAGCTGGAACACCCACACTCAGCACTTGATCGCAACATACCTGGTCTCGATCCTAACGTTCCTCGTCGCGAATCAAATCCTATCCATCCGTCCTACTACAATACGGATCGCTCCCAGTACTACGTACCCGCACCTTATGCTGCCACGCAACCCATGTCGACATGGACGACTACGGCGGCGTCGCAACCGCAAATGGCGCAACCTCAAATCTAATCTCTTGATACCTTTCCCGTGTCTTTGGTATTGCTTATGGCCATGGAGCGTGGGAGTCAGGGCGGAATATTGTTTCTCTTTTTTTATTTTGTTTGACGTTTTTTTTTTTGCTTTTTGCCTGGAGATAGACCCCCTACGCTTTTGTTCTGTTATGTTTGGGAGGAAAACGCCGTTTTATTGCTACAATATGTACTTGACAGCGGCTGTACTCGTCTCTTGTCTCTTGTCTATATGGTTATGGTCTATTGCTTTATGGTCTGTTACGGAGGTGGCTCTTTGTCTTTTTATTCTGCGTTTTACTGTTTTGGCTTTTACTTTACCCCCTTTGCTTTACTTTTTTTTCGGTGGCTCTATTGATTCTGTTCTGGGAATCCGGGTGGGTGGCGTTCTTTTATTCCTTACGATGTCATGCAACAACCCGATAACCCCAAAAACGGTTCTACTTTTTTTTATTACTACTTCTTTTACCTTTGGACTCTGATTCCTACTTTTTACTTATTTCCCTACTTGCTCTCCAACACTCTATATCTCTATTCGCTGCTAGGGCTGCTCCCTGTATGTTTGTCTTCACGCTGCGGAACGGTGTCCAAGGTTTCTTTTCCAATGTCTAGTCTGAGCGGGTTCCTGTTCTCTGTTCTATATTCTCTGTCCTGTCCAGTTCAACGAGGGGACAGATTTTAGTGATTCCGATCTCATTCCATGGTCAATGGTCAAAGATTGCTTCAATACGTCCCTTTCTTCCTTTCTTGCTTCTGGTGCTGGGGCTGGTTTGGCTGGTTCTGGCTATTATCAATACGTGCATGTACTTCATACTCTCGATTCCCCGTCTATAGTATGGATTATAGCCTCTGTGCACTAGTGGTGGATTTTTGATATTATAATTCCCCAATTCCAATATTAGCTGCTTCTGCCCGACAGAATGCGTCGTTTCTTTTTTTCTGTAGTCTTTCTGATTGCTATGCTCCATACTCTATACATTGCTATATTCCTCTGTCCTTCCCTGCTCCGCATTTGTTAGCATCACAGATGTGGTATGGATGGGATTTAGACGGATGTTGTCAAAGAAATATATTCTTCCCCATTTTGTGCCATTTAACTTGATTGATGTTAGCTAGGCTCTAGTAGATGATATTGAATGTGTTCTCTTGTAATATTTGCTTAATATGTTAACCTGTTTATATTTTTGCCTTGTTGGCATTCAATGGTGTTCTGGGTTGTCTATATTTAGATCGAAGTATAACTTTGTTTTTTCTGCTAACTGTGACTCTCTTCAACCTACATCCATCGTCTATATGGACACCATAGTGTTTGGAACAATTAAGAACACATAGCTAAATCGTCTACATGCACATATCACTCACTATAATTATAGTTTCCTACTATTATGGGAAATATAGAATCGAAAATCATCATATCATAATCAAGCACTATTTATACACTATCAGCACCTCGAACAGTAACAGATCAGACACACCCTGAACTCATATATCGACAATGGGTATCTCAAACAGACACACAGTTTCGCACATTGATATACTCAAAGAAACATTAGTAGAACACAAAGTAAACACACATAAGAGCGAATCTAGACTCGCCAAAGCAGAAAGGTAAATATCCCAAACATATACACATCCACCCTTGTCTTTGATCCAAACAAGACAAAAGATGATACAAACCTAATTAGCAACAAAAAAAAGAACGAATCAAGTCTCGTCAAAGCAGGAGAATGATGGATATCTCACACAGCACATCTGATCCAGACACCATGACCAGACGAAAGACCGGAGGAGCACCACCCAAAAGAAAGAAAAAAAATTCACTACCTACCAGAAAACCCAGAACCCAAAGACCTGGACAGCGGCGAGTTAACCATACTCATAACTCTCCGATGCCCACTCGCACGACCAACCAAATCCCGCCCCCCAACACGCCTCGAAGTCCCAGACGTGTGAATCGGCGTCCTTGGCAGACGACGTAACGTCTGATATTCCTCCTCATCACCAGACCCAGACCCATCCCCCTCCGCAATCTCCGAAAGAGTGCGGCCCCACCGCTGCGAACGCGCGCCCGTGTGCGGGATCATCGACTCTGTTAGGCTTGGCGAGGAGCTGGAGGTGGTGTTTGATGCTCCGCTCGCCGCGCGCGTGTTGGGGAATTCCCGCGCTTGTGTGCGTCGGAGGCTTGGTGTGTGGTGTGGGGTTAGGGGGGGGGGGAGGGGCCTGGGCTTGTTCGTGCCAGGTTGGTGAGGTGGGTGGTGGTGGGGTCGAGGTGGAGGTGGAGGTTGAGGGGGATGGTTATGGCGGCTGTTTGGGGGATGGTGGAGGGGGTTGGTGGTGCTGGGTGAGGGTGAAGGTGGGGAATTTGGGGGGAGGAGTGGCCTTGGCCTTGGTTTTGGTTTTGGCTCTGGGGGGATACCTGCTGCGGGCGGGATTGGGTTTCTTCACTCCTCGGCTGGGTGGTCCAGAGGTTTTGTAGGGTTGTCTGCAGGAGGTTGTTCTGCAGGGAGAGGCTGTTGTTCTGCAGAGCTAGGTTGTGGGTCTGCAGTTGTTGTTGGTACGGGATTGGGTTTAGAGACCCGTACTGCCCTGGGTAGGTGCCCTGGAAGTGATTCTCAGGGATCCCGGTGTCAGCTGGGATTTGGATCTGAGAGAAGTATCTATTAGTTTCGGCTCACTTCATTTGCATTGAGGGACTCATTGGTCTCTTGCTTGGTGAACATACCTGACGGCTGAATTTCCTTCCTGGCATAGCGATGTATTCATCGAACATGCTCCGGAGTTCTGCAAAGTTGAACCCACGCACTGGGTCTACAGGCTCAAACCGCTGTCCGACTTCTTGTTGGAAATTGACGCCCCGACGCGGTAAAGGTTGGTACTCGGGCAGTTTCAGCAGCAAGGATGGATAACTGCCAATCATTGCGTCGATGACGGGGTCGACGTCGATCGACAGAGAAATCTTGCTGTTTGCCGAGGGCTTTTGAATCAACATGACAAAGGTGAACTCGCGCGGCAGACCGGATCGCTGGACATTGTTCTCTTCCATGGACCAGACGATTTTGCCAGCTTCGACATCGAATTCGCGGCCAGCTGGGTTATTCAAAGTACGTGCGGAGCCTTGGATGCGCATCATCTCGTACCGCTTGTACCGACCATTGACGCTCCCCGAGGGAATTACGCTTGCGCTGACGGGCAATTCTGAGATTCCGAGGGACCCAGCCAGACTGAATGTCCACTCCATGGTCTCTGGGGAAACACTGCCGTAGATCAGGTGCGGCGCATGCATAAGGAAGCGTGGGTTACCGGGTGGATATCCATAAGGGTACGACTTCGAACTTGAAAGATCACGGTTTCCACGAACAGATACACTAATAGTGGCGGACTTGATACGGTGCGTGATAGTGTGCGGCGAATGAAAGGTGAATGCAATGGCGAGAAAATCTACGTGTTCGGCGTCCTCATCTGAGACTGCGTCGCTGAAGTAATAGCCATGCTGAAGGCGCTGGACGTGCGCGGTGATATAGGCATCTCCGGGCAGTCGGCGCTCGTATACGAGAGCGCGGTTGATAATTAGGCGTGGATTTGCCATGTTTGGATCTGGTTGTTCGTTTTCTTTGACTGGTGGTACACTGCGAATTGGAGTTAACGAGCGTGAGTCCGGAACACGCCCGTTTTGGACAGAAGTAAGCGACATCGTGGCGACTGCAAAGCAATAAGACCGCAGTTTCGTTCTGGCAGGCTCGCCTCGCTCTCCATCTAGCTTTGGGGCTCTTTCTAGACGCGGACGCGGATATTTTCACTTGGCTTGCATGGCATATTGTCCCCTATAGTCTTTTAGTTGACTACTTAGATATAAGCTAGCAGTTTTGTGTGATGATGCTTTTCATCACCTGGGGTTCTAGGTCACAGGAGTGGGAGAGGCTATCAGGTGAGCATAGGCTTGATCATGATCCCCGTGACGCAACTCCTGGCACCGGGGACCTAGAGATGATATTTTCATTTTCAATAATAGGTGATTCAACAGAGGCAGGCATGTTGTCATATTTGTTTCTATGTACAAAAGTAGGGGAAGTACAGGAAGGATAGTTCGTTGCATGTGGAGGATATAGAGACGGGCGGATAAACCATTTATCCGACTAGAAACTCATCGCCGAGGTGCAATCTCCAATGTTCATCTAACCTCAGGCAACCGTGATCTAGAGCTTTTTGGTTCTAGCTCGTTGGATTCCTGGTAGAACTGAGATCTATATTTTGAATTCTCTTATATGTATGTTCCGTTCAGCTAAGTTGGCCCGAATTCCGACCCATCCAGCTAACAATCCCTAGATTGTGTTTGTACTATATAGCATTCTGTCTTTTACTTGCATTGCTTGCGCTATCAGCTTGTTCGTTTGTTTTATTTTGGTTTGGGGGTCTGAATTTGCAGGTTACTAGCAGTTGTGCGACGCGACAGCTTCCGTTGGTTGGTTCCCCTGGCTGATCACTTGCACCGAATCACCATTTCATAGCCTGAAACCGACCGGGTATGCACAGTTGAGGCTGCCGGTTGAAAGCTTGTGATTATCAGTGTCGCTGGTCAATTTTGGGGTTCTACCAACGCCTGCCGTTGTCACCTTTGTGTTGGTGTCACCATGATTGGCTCATGCGCAGTCCAGTTGTCCCTTCGGGCGAGCCGGCAGGGATCTCAAGTGCTGTTCAAGAACGCACGTCTTTCTGTTCGGTCAAATGTGTTCAAGACTGAAGCACTTCAGAGGGATGGATTCCGGTGTATATCTACATCGGTCCAGTCGACATTAAACCGAGTACCAACCGGGTATGGTCATCTACTGCTTCTTTGTTTATGCAATTCTAACTGTTCATCAGAGGATTGAAACCTCGTTGTCTGCAGACCAGTCTGATCCCACCATCATTCTTCACCCAGCAAAGATGGTCCGGGTCAAAATCGCCGGAAAACAAAACCCCCGAACAGTATGTCCACAGCCTCCAGGCCGACATGCCCAAAGTCCAAATGGGACATAGATCAAGCAAACCAGAAACTAACCCAGCGTAGACCTGAGAAAATCAAGAAAACCCCTATTCTATCTCGGATTCCCCTGCCAACTTCTCACGAGAATATCTACACCGTGCCCAACATTCTCACATTCTCCCGGCTACTCGCCGCCCCCGTGGTCGGGTATCTCCTAGTCCATAACTACCACACAGCAGCGCTATCCCTGTTCGCCTACGCCGGCATCACTGACCTCGTAGATGGCTACATCGCCCGGCGGTACAACCTCCAAACCGTGGTTGGAACCATCATCGATCCCATGGCCGACAAGCTGTTGATGACCATCGGTGTCGCGTGTCTAGCCGTGAATGGCTCTCTTCCTGGTAAGTCTACTCGTATTGATCACTTGGTGGTATTTGGACATGGGCATGGATTGACACATTGAATAGTCTGGCTCGCTGTGATCATCCTCGGTCGCGATGTCGGTCTGGCTATCTCGGCTATCTACTACCGTTGGATTTCGCTGCCTGAGCCTAAGACTATGGCCCGGTACTGGGACTTCTCGCTTCCGTCAGCGGAAGTCAAACCCACTGAGATCTCGAAGGTCAATACTGCTCTGCAGTTGGTGTTGGTGGGTAGTGCGATTGCGCTGCCTGTGGTCCCTGAGGCGTTTGTCAGTGCCTGGCATTTGAGTGAGGCTATGACTGGATTCCAGTAAGTTTGATCTTTTCTTGTTTTATACCACTTTTTTTTGTCTTTTTTTTGTGTCTCTTTTTGTTTTATCTGGGAGACCTGTCCCTGATGGTCCGCCCTAAGGCACATCGAGGCTGGTTCCAGTACATACGACCATAGGGTGTGGAAAACAGGGCTTCCCGTCCGCTCAGCCGTACTTAAGCCACACGCCGGTGAGTTAGTAGTTGGGTGGGTGACCACCAGCGAATCCTCACTGTTGTATGTTTTTGTTTTTTTTTATTGCTTTACTTTGTTTTGCATTATTTACTTGCGTCGCTTTTTTTCAGATTGGTTCTTTTTACTAACCAATTTTAGGTACCTTGTTGCCGGCACCACTCTCTGGTCTGGACTCAGCTATGTCTTTTCCAACAATGCCGTGAAAATCCTCTCAAAGGAAGAGATCCAGAAGCGAATCGCCGAAGCAGCTGCTAAGCGCAAGTAGCGAATCAGAAATAACTAGCCAGAGTTAGAAGTTTTATTGTATATTATTCCAATGTTGGATCTTCGCCACACGAGTCAGACCGTATCTTTCTAACGGGGATTGCGCATATGTAGCATCTAACATGCATATGGATTTCTATTTCTATAGGTTTCTGTGGATTAAATTATGAACCACTTGGATACCCAAAGGTAGGTGTAGCCTGCATGACATGTGATATATCTGATATCTCTGACATGGCAACGTGGAAGTATGTAGTTTGATAGTGGCTTGCCAAGAAGCCCTGGGCATAAGTTAGGTGTGAAGGTTCTAAGTTTTTTTTTTTTCTCTTTCAAAAAAAGGCGATGGTATAAGCTGCTACTAAGTATCCAAATGTAAATAAATATATATGTTGTGGAGGATAAAAAAAAACAACCTGATGGAAACATGCATCTGCCGGGCTCTCGGCAATGTGAATGAAGCGAAGGTTGCAATATTTCTGCGAACTATGGAGCGCAGTTAGATCGGAGAAAAAGTCAGATTACCAAGATCCCTCCGGTCGGGGTACGCTTTGGGCCGAGTGGATCAGCGAGATCTTGGAAAGTCGCCGAACTATATCTAATTCGGGCAGCCTTGGCACTCTTTACTATGGTAAAAGCAGGAGGTTTACAAAAAAAAAGGTCGATTTTAACGGGATTTGGCTGTACTCCGTACATTGTTTTTAAGATAGGAAGGTGGGCCGACAGGGAATGGCATTGTAAGGACCCGGGCACTTGGGTCTGAGATCCCACATGCTTTGTTATATCCCAGTTATACATCCTAGTATGGGGATTTACATGGGTTCGGCCCTATTAAAAAGGTAAAAAGGATTCATAAGCAAGGATTGCTAATCCATCCCACCGGGGTACTCTATATAATATGTGGGAAAAAAAAAAAAGAGACGGAATATAAAAGCCGGCCCCACGTGCTTTCATAAGCCTCCAAGGGCTTCAGGGCTGATAGGAATGGATATTCCGATTGATGACATGCGAAACAGCCAACGAACAGCCAATGAACAGCCAGTATCAGCCATATATCCGGTTAAATCCCGGGCCTAAGACTAATCTCCGTCAGAGCTTGAAACCAGAAAAACTCTTTTCGACATGATTCAACTTGAGTCATGTATACTCCACTACCTAGGTACTCCACTATAGCTCTAAAGTCGAGATTTTGGCAAATAATCTCGCTTATGATTCGACGCTCAACTTACTTATTCCAAGGGTCCTGAAATTCCTTTTTAGCGACTGACAAATGCCTCGGGGTTAAGTGAATATTCTGACATTTTCTAATATAAACGGTGTTAAATCTCTTTTGCTCTTCTCCTTAATCTTTCCTTTATAATTCTCTTCTTTCTTTATAATTCTGTTGTTCCTTTACATTTCTCCTTTTTAATTCTATTCATATCCCATCCTCTAATTAGCCTGGCTATAACATAATACACCAGTATCTGTCATTGAATGTTACCGGAGAGTAGAACCCATCCGAGCCCCGAAATGGAGGGCCATTCCGAACAGTCGCATACCGGCTCGGAGCCCCAAGCCTATACTCAGTCCTCCAGGCAACCATCCAGCTCAACTGGCGAGACATACCATCATGATGCGAGCTCCGGACAACCCACTACAGAACAAGTTCACCAGACCACCGAAGCTCCCATCGAATCAACTTTAACCGACAGCTCAACCGTCAGCTCGTCTGTAAGTGACGAAGATGGCCAGTGGGGAGAGCAAGAGGCCGGAAAGGCCGTCTCCCGCAGCGGCGCCATGGAGGATATGGAAGAGATGCGCCGCGAACTCACCCGCCTCAGCCTGAGCCGCACCCGCTCTGTCACTAAGAGCGTTCGTCGCCGAAAGTCGCAGGCCAGCCGCCGCGATGAAGAAAAGGCCAAGGACGAAGAGACCGAGGACGAGGCTGACGACAGCTTCAATCTGGGTGAGTTCCTGACCGGTGGTCATCTGGAGCGTCGCACGACCGCCGGCGAACCCGCCAAGAAGGTTGGCGTCGTCTTCAAGAACCTTACCGTGCAGGGCGTGGAGACCGGCGCATCTTTCGTGCGCACTCTTCCCCAGGCCGTGATCGGTACCTTCGGCCCCGATTTGTATAACCTCGTCTGCAGGTTCGTGCCGCAGCTGCGGTTCGGAAAGCACCCTCCTGTTCGCGATCTGATCCATGATTTCAGCGGTACTGTGCGCGAAGGTGAGATGATGCTGGTGCTGGGCCGTCCAGGTGCTGGCTGTACCACCTTCCTCAAGGCGATTGCGAATGACCGTGGTGCTTTTGCTGGTGTCCATGGTGAGGTCAGTTATGGTGGTCTCTCGTCCGAGGACCAGAATAAGCACTTCCGTGGAGAAGTCAACTATAACCCAGAAGACGACCAACACTTCCCTTCGCTCACTGTCTGGCAAACTCTCAAGTTCTCCTTGATCAACAAGACCCGCAAGCAAGATCGGGAAAGCATCCCCATTATCATCGATGCCCTGTTGAAGATGTTCGGTATCACTCACACAAGGAATACCCTCGTTGGTAACGAGTATGTCCGCGGTGTCTCTGGAGGTGAGCGCAAGCGTGTGAGTATCGCAGAGACCCTGGCCACCAAGTCCTCAGTGGTCTGCTGGGATAACTCGACTCGCGGTCTGGATGCCAGCACCGCACTGGACTACGCCAAGTCCCTCCGCATCATGACCGATATCAGCAAGCGCACTACCTTCGTCACCCTGTACCAAGCCGGAGAGAGCATCTACGAGCTCATGGACAAGGTGATGGTCATCGACGAAGGCCGCATGCTCTACCAAGGTCCAGCCAATGAAGCACGACAATACTTTATCGACCTGGGCTTCTACTGCCCCGCACAGTCGACTACAGCCGACTTCCTTACTTCGCTCTGCGACCCCAACGCCCGCGAGTTCCAGCCCGGTCGTGAAGCGTCCACCCCCAAGACCCCCGAGGCACTTGAGAACACCTTCAAGAACAGCCAGGCCTACAGCCGTATCTTGGAGGATGTCAGCAGTTACGAGAAACGTCTCCAAGACACCGAGCAGGCGGACACCCGTCGCTTCCAATCCATGGTCGCGCAGTCCAAGTCCAAGTCCGTCTCCAAGAAGTCACCCTACACCGTCTCGTTCGTGAGCCAGGTCATGGCCTGCGTGCAGCGCGAGTTCTGGCTGCTCTGGGGTGACAAAACCTCCCTCTACACGAAGTACTTTATCGTCATCTCCAACGGCCTCATCGTTTCGTCCTTGTTCTACGGAGAGTCCCTGGATACCAGCGGCGCTTTCTCGCGCGGCGGTGCTCTGTTCTTCTCAATTCTGTTCCTTGGCTGGATGCAACTGACCGAGCTGATGCCTGCTGTCACTGGACGGGGTATCGTCGCCCGCCACAAGGATTACGCTTTCTACCGTCCCTCTGCTGTCTCCATTGCCCGTGTCATTGTCGACTTCCCTGCTATCCTCGCCATGGTCGTGCCGTTCACGATTATCGTCTATTTCATGAGTGGTCTCGATATCTCGGCTTCCAAGTTCTTCATCTACTTCCTGTTCGTGTACACGACTACCTTTTGCGTCACCTCGCTCTACCGCATGTTCGCTGCGCTGTCGCCGAGTATCGATGACGCCGTGCGTTTCAGTGGTATTGCGCTGAACCTGCTCATTTTGTATGTCGGTTATGTCATTCCCAAGCAGACTCTTATCAAGGACTCTATCTGGTTCGGATGGCTGTTCTATGTCAACCCCATCGCGTACAGTTACGAGGCGGTCTTGACAAACGAGTTCGCCGATCGTGTCATGGAATGCAATCCATCCCAACTTATCCCACAGGGTCCCGGGATGGAACTCCAGTACCAGGGCTGTGCTCTGACTGGGTCATCCCTGGGTGAAACATCTGTTACCGGGACTCAGTACTTGACTGCCAACTTTGAGTTCACACGCAGCCATCTCTGGCGCAACTTTGGTGTTGTCATTGCCTTCACCGTGCTGTATATCCTGGTGACTGTCATCGCTGCTGAGACTCTCTCGTTCGTTGGTGGTGGCGGTGGTGCTCTGGTCTTCAAAAAGTCCAAGCGTGCTAAGCAGGTCGCTCAGACTATCGACGCCAACGACGAAGAGAAGGTCGCTAACGCAAATGACAAGGCCGCTCTTGCCCGTGGCCAGGCCACTTCTAATGATGCGACTTTCAACCGCCTGTCCTCAAGTGAGCGCTGCTTCACCTGGCAGAATGTTGAATATACTGTCCCCTACGGTAATGGAACACGCAAGCTCCTCAACAGTGTCAATGGCTACGCCAAGCCCGGCGTCATGATCGCCCTCATGGGTGCCTCTGGTGCTGGAAAGACGACCCTACTTAATACTCTGGCCCAGCGCCAGAAGATGGGTGTCGTGACTGGCGATATGCTCGTCGATGGCCACAAGCTGGGTCCTGATTTCCAGCGTGGCACAGGTTTCTGTGAGCAAATGGATCTGCACGACAACACCTCCACCATCCGCGAAGCCTTCGAGTTCTCAGCCATCCTCCGCCAGCCCCGCGATGTCCCGCGCCAGGAGAAAATCGACTACGTGGACCGCATCATCGACCTGCTCGAACTCGAGGATATCCAGGACGCCATCATCGGCTCTCTCAACGTCGAGCAGAAGAAGCGTGTCACCATCGGCGTCGAGCTCGCAGCCAAGCCTAGTCTGCTTCTGTTCCTGGACGAGCCCACCTCCGGTCTCGACAGCCAAGCCGCATTCTCCATCGTCCGCTTCCTCAAGAAACTCTCTCAAGCCGGCCAGGCTATCGTCTGCACAATCCACCAGCCCTCCTCCATGATCATCCAGCAATTCGACATGATCCTCGCCCTCAACCCCGGCGGCAACACCTTCTACTTCGGCCCCGTCGGCAAAGAAGGCTCCGCGGTAATCAAGTACTTCGGCGACCGCGGGTTCGTCTGCCCACCATCCAAGAACGTGGCCGAATTCATCCTCGAAACAGCCGCGAAAGCAACCCACCGAAACGGCAAACTCCTCGACTGGAACGAAGAATGGCGCAACTCAGACCAAAACCGCGAAATGCTCGCTGAAATCGAGCACATCCGTGCAGAGCGCAGCAAGCTCCCCATCGAGGAATCCGGCTCCGCCCAATACGAATTCGCAGCCTCAACATCAACCCAAACCTTCCAGCTGACGAAACGTCTCTTCACAAACTACTGGCGCGACCCATCCTACTACTACGGCAAACTCTTCGTCTCGGTCATCATCGGAATCTTCAACGGCTTCACCTTCTACATGCTCTCAAACACAGTAGCCTCAATGCAAGACCGCATGTTCTCCGTCTTCCTAATCATCCTCATCCCACCCATCGTCCTCAACTCCATCGTCCCCAAATTCTACATCAACCGCGCCCTCTGGGAAGCACGCGAATACCCATCCCGCATCTACGGCTGGGTCGCCTTCTGCACAGCAAACGTCGTCTGCGAGATCCCCGCAGCCATCATCTCGGGCCTGATCTACTGGCTGCTATGGTACTACCCAGTCGGATTCCCAACCGACTCCGCGAACGCAGGCTACGTCTTCCTCATGACGATCCTCTTCTTCCTCTTCCAGGCTTCGTGGGGCCAGTGGGTCTGCGCCTTCGCGCCTTCTTTCACCGTCATCTCAAACGTCCTCCCCTTCTTCTTCGTCATGGTCAACCTCTTCAATGGTATCGTCCGTCCCTACGCAGCTTACCCCGTCTTCTGGAAATACTGGATGTACTACGTCAACCCGGTCACATGGTGGCTGCGCGGTGTGTTATCTGCCGTTTTGCCAGAGGTCCAGATTGAGTGTTCCTCGCTGGAAGCTACACATTTCAACCCCCCGCCTGGAAAAACTTGCAATGCTTATGCGGGTGACTTTGTCGACGCTGCGAAGGTTGGATACCTGGTTAACCCCCAGGCTACGGCGGATTGCCAGTACTGTCCCTACACGGATGGTGCGCAGTACATGGCGAACTTGAATGTTCATGTTGATGATAAATGGCGCTGCTTTGGAATTTTCTTGGCTTTTGTTATTATTAACTGGGCTTTGGTTTATTTCTTTATTTACACTGTTCGTGTGAGAGGTTGGAGCTTTGGTATTGGTTCGCTGTTTGGTTTGGGTGGACTGATGATTGATCGTGTGAAGGGATTGTTTAAGGGGAAGAAGAATGATGAAGTTTAGGCTTCTAGATTTTGGTGCTTCTTTTCGTTTTCTTTTTTCTTTTCAACTTGCATTTACATCGAGCGTGATATTGTATATATCAAACCAGGTCAACCTTAGAAACTTGGAAGCATACATATTAGATAGTTGTTTAGGACATTACCTGTTCTTTTTTTTATTTGTCTGTTTTCGTTTGAATGTCACAGCATAAAAGCTAGATAATACATACAGTGCTTCAACCTCCCTTCCATTCATTCATTTCCCATTGAACCAACCAAGCAACCCGATCCGAACTCCTCCTATTCCAGGTACCCATGACAAGGATAGTGAAAATCTAGACTCTCACTGGACGTTGCAGAAGTAAACGTAGATATGACTCGGATGTAGAGTGGAAACAAAGGCTCAAGACTTTCCATCCAGGTCAAGTCTCAAGATTCAAGGCTAAATCAAACCCCAAAGAAGAAAGGCTTCCGGTGCTCCGACAATGGAACAGCAGGCACTCTGATCGGGACAGGGACGGTATCCTTGAAGATCTCGACTGGGAGAGGAGCCGAAGGGACGGTTCCCTGCGTTTCCCGTCCCTTACCTTTCTCCTCGGTCTTCTTCTCGTTGATGATAGGCACGATAACGCCGCATTCCCAGTTGCGACAGTTCATCTTCAACTGTTTGGTCTTGGGATCCTTGACGATACGACCCCTGTTCCGTGTTAGCTTTCTCATTACAGTGATTGGGGTATAGGTATGTACGCACCATGCACTCTCCGACAAATTCGCACTTCCCACATAAGCCCAACCACGGCACTCCTTGTTATCGGGCATCTCGATCGGGGTGGAAGGATGGACGAAGGCAAGCTTTATACCAGAAGGAATGTGTATTAGTAACAAATCATTGTAACCAGCCCGCCGCAGAAGTACTCACCTTGTTATGCATCAAGACTCCACGCTCACTGACACAGTCTCTAAGCGTGTCACGCGGGAAATTGGCACTCGACCACCAGGCTGGATTGAAGCATATCGTGCCAATCGCGTATTTGGGGTTGCTGTGCACGTCTCGTACGGTTTCGTCTGATGGGAAGTAAACGCGGAAGTGGTCGAGACATTCTTGGTTATGCGCTTCCACTTCTGTGCGGGGTTCTTTTTTCTTGTTTGCCGCTCGGAGCTCGTAGTCCAGTATAGCGTTGTCACCTAATGGGTTGGAGTTGATTAGATTAGTTGGTCTTGGGTTTTGAAAGATGGTGGCATGCCTTTGCAAGCGAGGTAGATTGAGCGCAGGAATGGAGTGTTGATATTTCCCAGCGATGAGGCCTGTGTATTGTTAGTATACCCAGTGTTGTATTATATATGGAAGCATAGCAGGTGAGGAAATTTACGATATAGTCGACGTTGATAGGTGCGTTTGTCTCTAGGCCGAGGGTTTTGACAGCGCGACCCAAGCCGCTGAATCCGGTGCGTTGCCATTTTTCGTCGGTGTTTGTTCCGCCACTTATATTGTTAGCTGGTGGCTAGAATTTTGCTAGGGAAATCGGCTAGGGGGAAAATACATACACTGTATGAACAAATGCGTAGCGCTTCGTCTCGCTGAAGTCAAAGTCATCCAGCTTCTTGATGATGTTGCGGTGGAGTTCGGTTGCCTGGAGGAAGTAGACTAGTTCTTTGTAGAATGGAGTCTTCCCGGCATCAGGAACTTCAAGTTTGGGAAGATCAATAAGGAATACAGTCTGCACACTGTTAGAAAGTTGAAGAACATCAGGTGGGCCGGAGTGACATACGTTTTCCATAAGTCTATCCTCTCCCCAGTCAGTGGGGGTGAGATTGGCGGATGGGACTGCGATGCGAAGATATCCAGGGTGAAACATCAAAAGCAGCTTAGAATGCATACAAAACACTTGGGGCTCCATCGGTGGGAAACACAAGCGAAAATTGGGCATGTCGCTAACATCCTGACGATATTGCTCTCGCTGTAAACGAAGTCAAGTTAGTCCGAGTCATTCAAGGCCACAGTGAGTTGCTAACCGTTTCTTCGTCATTTGCTTGCATAACAAATATGATTCGTGTGGTTGAGTTGTTAAACTTGGAATAAAGCCACGGCATGTCCCACAGAAACGAGCTAAATACGCCCAACTCCAGGTCGTCTCGCTGGATGACTTCTTCAATTGTGATCTCGTTTCCACTGCGAGGGAAACCGGTGATGTGTGTTTTTTTGACAGCTCCAAGAGGCCATTGCGCCACTGAGCGGGAGGTCGGTTGGATGTTAATATTCGGGGCATTTGATGCAAGCTGGCGGCAGACTTCGGTGCGAGATTTCACTCGAGCCGTGCTCGCTTGGGGGGCAGATTGGAACGGATTGCGTAGAGCGGCAGAGTGACGGGCTGGCAAAGGCTCAGTCCTGGGGACCTTCCGGCTGACTTGAGACGGTGGAGAAGACGAATTGTCGTCGGCCTTGCGCTTGGCGAGACGTGCAAGACGCTCCTCTTCCATCTGCTTCCGGTTCATGGTTAATAGTGAACCCGCCGACGCTACAGAAACTGCATGCGGGGTGGTTGCATGTTTGGCAGGCTGTTCATTCTCAGGAGGGTTGGCCTCGTCATTAGGCTCCATCGACATAGCAAGAGCACGTTGCAGCTGCTCATGCTCGAGGTCACCTTCAGTCTCCGAACTAACCACGGACTTTGACTTGGGGAATACCTCTTCAATGTCCGAGTCATTACCCGAGTCATTGGTCAGATCGACAAAGTTATCCTGGGACGCCTGAGACGAGGGGTGCCTGTTCTGCTGGCGATACATATCTTGCCGAGAGGCCTCAACTGCAGCGGCTAACTCAGGATCCACTAGTGGCTCCATAATGCAGAACCCCACGAAGACCGAAATGCAGGTTTGTTTTGGGAAAGGAAGAAAGATGAAGATAAAGGGATGTAAAAAGCTGTGGATGGCAGATAATAATGGAATGTTTGATGCGTAGAGTATGAAACCGAAGGAAGATTTTCAAATGCGACAATGTGAGAATGTATGCGCAGACTGTCACTAAAAAGATCCTCAAGAACCATCAGCCAGATATCCAGAGGCTTACACGATTATGACGGCCCTAAACCCCAAAACCGATTCTGTTCACGTTGTACATACAGGTGTCGTCTCAATATGGAATCCCTGTTTGTCAAATATTTATCACGTGACTGGTCATACCGCAATATAAAGAGTATAACTCCGCCTGTTATACGTCGTATTTTAGTCCCATGTCTGAATGCTTTACGGCATCTAGTTCTTAACTGGTATCTTCTGAGCGGGTGGAATGATCCAAAATGCCATATGGGTCTAATATAGTGACTAGGCCTTTCTTTCCCGGTAGTTATAGAGATGGACACGATCGAACTATTCCATACATGGCCTACCCAACTACTTCATAGGAAAAAGAAAACACAATTTAGTATTAAACACACTAACGTCTTCTTCGTTTGAAAGCCGGTTCATGGTGGTCACTCCTGATAGAAACCTAGGTAGCCTTGAACAATTCCCATTCACACAAGAAAACCGAAATGGACATGACTCCAATTAAGGATGTACGCATGAATTGATCACTAGTATTTTTCAGATTAAAGTAATCGTAGCGTCTGTAAATATTCAAGTCACAAGATGCCGGCAGATATATGAACGATTTCAGTGGGGGCAGCGCCGAGCCGACGGCTGGCTGAGTCGCCTGGCTGAGTCGGCGACGACATTCACGATCCTTTACCCCCTCACGCTCTTCCAGCCGATCACGCTCTTCCATCAGGCATGAGCAGCACACAATGAAGAAATTCAAGAAAGCTGTTCGTCGCATCAAAGCGCGTGCTTCGGCCACACGCGAGAAAATGCGAGGAAAGGGTTTGACCATGCGCATGCATAACAAAGCGACGGCTTCACAGGTCCCGGCTGCAGAATCCCCGGCTTCCGATGTTCTGGTTGAGCACCACACAATGAAGAAATTCAAAAAAGCTGTTCGTCGCATCAAAGCGCGTGCTTCGGCCACACGCAAGAAAATGCGAGGAAAGGGTTTGACCACGCGCAAGCGTAACAAAGCGACGGCTTCAAAGGTCCCGGCTGCAGAGGTCCCGGCTTCCGAGGTCTTGGCTGAAGAGGTCCCGGGTCTAGCAGCTTCGGCTGTCCCGCATGAGTCTGATCAAGTCGTGGATGTAGTCCCAAAATCCAAGGTGTCGCACGCATAGTAAGTTGATATAACACCCGGGCGCAATGCCACCAACAAGTCCACTGATCTGACAAGTGCCAGTTCCGATACGCCAATTTTCTACGTCACCCGTGTTGCTGATGACAACTTCAAGAACCGAATGTGGTTGCAGTTTGGTAAAAAGTGGGAATCGTTCGAGAACAGGTTCCTCGCCGACATGGAAAAATATCCCCCGGACGGGCTCGTGGACAGACGCAGCCCATGCCCATTCGATTGGCTGTCGCTGAAGGTTCGCGCGAAGATCTGGAAGTACGCTTTCGACGACGGTATGGAGGCCATCTTTCTCACGAAGAATGGGATGGCCCCCAAGATTCCGACTTCCATGCGATTTGTGTCGTTCGACTGGATGTCAGAGGCGTGGTTTGCATATATCAATGCCCTGAGAAACAGAACTCTGGTGGTGATGGATTTCCCCAGACACGGCTACCTCATCCAACCTTGCCCAATCTTCCGAGAACTGGCGACAACCCGTGTTCGAGCAATCAAATTCGCGCTGGGTGACCCGGACCCCGTGAAGGCCAAAGAGCGCACTGGCCATTTTATCAGGTTCATGTTGAAGCACAGAAATAGTGGATTTGTCACCGTTCGCACGCTGATCATTGAACTGAGAAAGAACTGGGAAAACGATGACTTCACCGAGAGGGATCTCGCCGACATATTGACATGCGGCGCATTCGCTGAAATCGAACGAATTCGAATCCACGGAAGGATCACAAATGAGAAGCTGGACCGGTTTCTGGAGCGAGCGAACCAGATGTCGCACGCCTCGTTCTGATGGCTGCCTTGTTCTCAGTCAGAGAGCGGGCTATGATGATTTCATAGGCATTGCAGAACCAGATCCACAATAGCAAAAAATGAATCTCTATCAGCAGTTGATTTGCCAAGTCCAAGGCCAACGAGGAGTAATCTCTTTTCACTAGGTGTTTTCATTGCAATAGCCGTGGCAATCTGACGAGCAAGTAGTTGACCCGTCGTGTCTTGTCCAGGAGAATAGCCACCTAGTAAGGTGGTGGTGGTTAGACTTTTGAGGGGCAAAAGAGCATCATCGCCCTCAGCGAGGGTGTGCATGCCCTCGGTGCCAGGGTTCTGGTTCTCCATCGGTACATGCAACTATATACCATTAGCGATATTTGCTGAAGTCAAATTCAAGACACATACCCAGTGTGCTAATCGTCCTGCTTGTGAAATTGTGACCATGATTTTATCGCTAAAGCTCATTATCACCACATCTGTTTGTACTCCATTGACTGACCCCGCAACCTGCTTAGTGGTAGCAGGAAATGGCAGGTTGAGGGAATCCTGCAGAGAGCTTGTATCAGAAGATTCAACCATGGTGATTGTGATTTGAAGTAATTATCTTTGTCGGAATACTGAAGAGGGATATAAGTTAGGTTTCCTAGGTGTAACGGAGGTCGACGTCCTTTCGTAGGCAGCGCGCTAGTTTCACCGCCTCGGGCCAAGCCAGCAGTATCCGACCGCCCTAATTTTTTTTTGAAGAAACAGTTGGATCGCAGAGCTTGCATACTTAGTCAATTATCTTTTTCTGTCAGCCAGAGTGGCTGCGGTAATCCAAGATGCCGCCTAAATTTACACCACGTCTAAGAAAACAAAGGCACCGCCAAAACCCAGACGGCGAGTCGGCTGATACCAATGTCGCACAGCTCCAGCCCGTCTCCAAGGACGAGAAAGAGGCACGGCGACAGAAGCTGAAGGGGGAGCTACAAGAGCAGCATCCTCAGATGTCCTCAAAGAAGCAGAAGCGCTTGGACAAATACATTGTATGTGGATAGCCGCGATTGCAAGATATGGCTCTAACATTTCCGCAGGAAAATAAACTCAAGAAGGAAGAAAATATCGAATTGTTGAAAAAGCTAGCCCTATCGTCCGTCGACACTTCATCTTTACAGAGTTCCAAAGATCTTTCCAAGCGCAAGAGACAGGATGACGACGTATCTGCACCGACAACCGTTTCCGCGCCGAATCACAAAGCTCCCGCAGATATCTCAGGATACGACTCTGACGATTCGGACATCCACCTGAAAGTCTCCGATCCCGCAACAGATCCCAATGAACAAAAGTTACGAGAAGAGGCAGCTGCTGGAAGCGGACTTAAGCGACCATTAGAGCTAGGAGCCGACGGATTCCCTGTTCTAAAGAAGCGGAAGCGCGCACCGAAGAAGAAACCCGCACCCGCACCAGTAAAAGCTGAGGTTGCATGGGAGGGCTTTGATTCGGACGAGGAGGATGAAAATGAAGATGATGACGATATGGACGAGGAATCCGAAAGTGATATCGAAGAGGACTCTGAAGAAGAAGATATTTCGTCTTCCGAGGGCATTTCCGGGGATGAGGATGAAAACTCAGAAGATTCAGAAGAAGATGACGAAATGGACGAAGATAAGCCAACGCTCAAGACTCGCCAGTCGGCCTTCAAATCTTGGGCGGTACAACAGATCAATGAAGCCGCAGGTTTCCAACCCAACGAGGGAGCCGTGACCGAAGAAGAACAGGTGTTCGACCCATCCAAGTTGCCAGCAACCCACAATACTACTCAAGAAGAACCTCTCCCTCGGGAGCTTCAGGTAACTCATGGCGATCCCAATCGCAAGGCATACAGTGTCGCGGTTGACCGTACGGAGGAAATCCAAACCGCCCGTCTTGGACTCCCTGTCGTTGGCGAAGAACAGAAAATCATGGAGGCAATTCACAACAACTCAGTTGTCGTCATTTGGGGTGCTACTGGTAGTGGAAAGACAACCCAGCTTCCCCAGTTCCTCTTCGAATCCGGCTTCGGCTCCCCAGGAAGCCCTAATCCGGGTCTAATCGGTGTCACCCAGCCTCGCCGAGTCGCGGCCGTGAGTATGGCGAACCGCGTTTCTCAGGAGTTGGGTCAACATGCCGAGAAGGTTTCTTATCAAATCCGATTCGAGTCTACAGCATCGAAGAAGACAGCGATCAAGTTCATGACTGATGGTATTCTTCTACGAGAGATTGCAGATGACTTTGCCCTCCGCAAATACTCTATCATTCTTATTGACGAGGCTCACGAGCGCAGCGTCAACACTGATATCCTGATTGGAATGGTCAGTCGTATTGTGGGCCTGCGCAAGTCTTTGAGCGAGGAGGACCCCTCTGTCAAGCCTTTGAAGGTCGTCATCATGTCGGCCACACTCCGTATTTCTGATTTCACTGAAAACCCAAGTCTTTTCCGTAATGGTGCACCTCCCCTGGTCCAAGCCGAGGGTCGTCAGTATCCTGTTGCAGTCCATTTCTCCCGCCGCACGCAGCGTGACTACGTTGAAGATGCGTTCCGCAAGGTTTCGCGCGGACACCGCAAACTACCTGCCGGTGGAATGCTTGTGTTCTTGACTGGTCAGAACGAAATCCGGCAGCTTTCTAAGCGACTGAAGCAGGCGTTCAAACCTACTCAGCGGGAAGATACGACACAAGCAAAGGTGCAGCTCTCAGCTACTGAGGCACCTCTTGAAGCAGAGGACCTTGAGCTGGGCGGCACCGAGATGGACAATCCAGGACATGATGATTACGACAGTGACATGGAGATCACCGGACTGGATGATGCAGAGGAAGACGAAGGCTTCGAACTTGCTGAAGGCGAAGAGGCCATGGACTCGTCAACTCGCGTTCACGTCTTGCCTCTATACTCCCAACTTCCCACGAAAGAACAGATGAAGGTGTTTGAGCCGGCCCCAGAGAACTCCCGACTAATCATCCTCGCAACCAACGTCGCCGAGACATCTCTTACCATCCCCGGTATCAAGTATGTCTTTGACTGTGGTCGCGCCAAGGAGAAGCAGTTCGATCTCTTCACTGGAGTCCAGAGCTTCCAGGTCGGTTGGATTAGCAAGGCAAGCGCAAACCAGCGAGCTGGTCGAGCTGGTCGAACAGGGCCTGGCCATTGTTACCGAATGTATTCCTCTGCGGTCTACGAAGGCGAGTTCGCTGAATACACCGACCCAGAGATCCTCCGCACCCCCATTGAAGGCGTTGTCCTCCAGATGAAGAGCATGGGTCTTCACAACGTGATCAACTTCCCATTCCCCACACCCCCGAGCCGCCAAGGTCTTGCGAAGGCAGAGAAACTCCTCAAGAACCTCGGCGCCCTTACAGCCGACGGCCAGGTAACGCCCATCGGCCGTCGTCTCTCAACATATCCCCTCTCTCCCCGGTTCAGCAAAATGCTCCACATCGGCCACCAACACGGCTGCATGCCCTACGTGATCGCCCTAGTCGCAGCCCTAGCAGTGGGCGATCTCTTCGTCCCAGAGAACCAGCTCGACCCCAACAACCCCCTACCTACCACAGCCAAGAAGCCAGTCAACGACGACAGCGACAGTGACAGCGACAGACGCAAGGTCTACACATACGCAGACCGCCTCGAAGACGACGAGCGCGAACAACGCAACAAAGCGTACGCCCGCGCCCAACGCCTCTTCAGCAAACACGACGACACCTCCGACGCGCTAAAATCTCTCTCGGCAATCTGCGCCTACGGATACGCTTCAGACGGCGACGCCTTCAGCGAGAAAATGTTCCTCCGCGCAAAGGCCTTCAAAGAAGCAACCCAGCTCCGCCGCCAGCTAACCGACATCGTGCGCTCAAACAACCCAGGCCTAGTCCCCACTTACGAAGCCCGTCTGCCAGAGCCCTCATCAAAGCAAATCAAGGCGCTAAAGCAGATCGTCACGGCAGGCTTCATCGATCACGTCGCTATCCGCGCTGACCAGGCCCCCGTCCCGCCGGAGAACCCGCGCACTCCCCGTCGCGCCATAGACGTCCCTTATCTGACGCTCTTCCGCTCCCGGGACGGTAAGGACCAGGATCTGCAGGAACGCGCTGTCTATGTGCATCCGTCTTCGCTGCTTGCGAAGCTCTCCCCGAAGGAAATGCCGAAGTATATCACTTACTCGCATCTCCAGCAGTCTTCTGCTTCGCTGGTCTCGGACCAGGTGCCCAAGATTAGAATGTTCCCGCTTGTTGCGCCTAGTGCGTTGCAGCTCTCGGCGATTGCGCATGATACGCCGCTTATTGAGTATGGAAAGCCGATTGGTAAGGCTGATGCTATTGAGGGTGTGCCGCCGCGTAGATCATGCTGGGTTATTCCTTCTCTTGTGGGTGATTCGGGCAGTGTGGGGTGGCCGATGCCTGCTAAGAAGGTTGTGCAGAAGAAGGATCCCAAGGAGGGTTGGGTTATTGAAAAGTTTGTGGCATAGGCACTGGTTTTGGTGTATTATAGATGAGGTTATGATATCCAATTGTTCATTTCTTTGCATTCGAAGAAGATTGTACAGCATAACATGAACAACAATGAAAAGAAAAGAAACTTGTTCATGCAACCCTATTTCCATGATAATCCCACAAAACCATAACACCGATCAACACCATTACTTGAGAAGACACAAGCCGCAGAACCAAGCAGAGAAAAAAACAAGTCAAGACCTAATCTAATCCCTCCTCTTCTCCCGATAATCCCGGGAACTAGAAATCTCCCCAGTCTCCCGATCCTCCCTCAACCCAAAAGCCCTACGCAACCTCTCCGTCTCCTCAATCTTCGCCTCAGCAAGCTCATGAACCTGATAAGACTTAAGATTGCGTCTGTCCCTACCAGCAGATCCAGACCCAGGGAAAGGCTTCTTAAATCCGGACTCTCCGCGCTTCAAATCCTCCTCCAGCTCCTTCAGCAACCGCTGCCGAAGAGTATCACACCGTTCATCAATCTCCTCTTCACTAAGAACCTTCTCCCCCTCATCCGCCTCACCATCCTCACCACCTTCTTCCTTCTTGGCCCCACTCTTAGCCTTCTTCTTCTTATCATCCGCCTCCTCTTCAATCCGCTCATTCTCCTCTTCCAGTCGCTCCCGCTCTTCCATAACCTTCACCTCGATTGCGCGCTTGCGGTCATGCTCAAGGATCTGCTTGTCCGGCATCCGCTGCTTGAATGGTCGGTCCATTGGCCCGCTGCCGTTTGCGCCGCTGATCGGCGGGTAGGGAGCGCCGTATCCTGTGTTGCGGGGTTTGAGGAGCGCGGAGTTGCGCTGCACGTAGCCTGATGTGCCGCTGCCGCGCGGGGTTGTGAGGCCGACGTTGGAGGACATTTTTGTAGTGGTTGGTGGGTGGGTTTGGAAATTATTTGGTGGGTTTGTATTGGGGGATTCTTTGGTGGACGATCGTGTGTGATAGTCGTAGTAGGGGTTATTGTTGTAGGTTTGTAGGTTGTAGTTTTGCGGGATGGAGAGAGCTCGGAGCTGGTCTGGATGTCGACTCGGGATGTAGGTTTTTTTGAGCTCGGATTGGAGGTTCAGCGATGACGGGTAGATTGCTCGATACCGCGGGTTTTTATCCGTTGACGCGCAGAGAGACAAGGCTGGTCACAGTGTCAAGGTAGAAGTGGAAGTGCAGACGGGTTTGCTCCAACTCTATCAAAATGCGCCATCTTATCAGACATCACGGGACTGAGATCACGTGCGATATGAACTATATGCGTCACGTGCTGGCCACTTTGCTATGGAAGTTCAGAGCGATCACGCCTTTGAGATCTTTTTAAACGTCTATTTAGATGTCGTCGAATATGTGTTGGACAAGGCCAAAGTGGTCGTCGCTATACACTGCGATACTTTACATTAGGGTCTTGAGCTAGAGGCGCTGCATGCTACGACGTATGAACGGATTGGTACAAATCTACATCATTCCGAATGATACTTAGCAAAGTTAAAGTCAAGTCATAATGCATTGATAATACAGCCACTAGCAAGACGAAGAAAAGAAAACCACAAAATTATCAACGCGGCATGGCAACCCGTAAACAAGCAGCACGAAATCCACAAGAGCCGGCAGCTATAATAAGCTCCCAAAAGCCAAGCAGAATCATGCATGCTGACCGAGAAGCACAAAAGCAAAAACACCTTGAGGCGGAAGGGAAGCCGTGGAGCTCGGGATCAGGAATCATAGCCATGGGTTAAATATGTTGACACGGCCAGGGAACAGCGGAAAGAAATGTGTGAAAGAATTAAGTAGTAGGTGGTTCTGGGTAGATCATGCAGATGCCATGGCACAAGTAGCTGCTGTGCAAAGTGGTTAAATTGATTCTTTTCCTGGTATTTTCTGCTGGATCCGAATGTAAATGTGAAAGATCCGGGACTCCATGCTATGGCATATGCGCTCGGAAATCATGCAGAGCGAAAGATCAAATCCGTTCCCCCTTTCCGAGCCTGTTGCCGATTTTTTTCCCCCATCACAGCCGCCTTAACCCCGTGACAAAATAAAAATAAATGGGAAGAAGTGAAAATAACAAAGACGCCGGAGCCATATCGATTCTCGGACCTGGATCTCGTAGCGAGAAGCATTGACAATGATTCACAAACACAATCGTAAGAATAAATGAACATGTCAAGAAAGAAACAAGAACAAATAAGGTAAGATAAGAAATAGGTCGGAGGTCCGAGATCGAGATCAACACAAGAAAGAAATAAGAAAAGAAATAAAAACATTCCAGGCCCTCATTGTTGCGCCGTCAAAGCCATGGTCAAGTAGGGGAGAATCACATAGACGTTGGTAACATATATCCCGCCTGATTCCCCTGTATGTATACGCCCCATATTAGATAGAGAACAAGAAGTCACTCGGCTCAGATCAAATCAGGATTAGAAAGATTATGTTGGGCGAGCAAGATAAAGTGTGCAACGAATTAGTGAGCACTAGTGACATCGACCGGGACGGTAACACCGGTGTTGCCTGTCTCGGGACTCGAAACCGAGGTCACTGTGCTCTTAGCAAGGCCCTTCGACTCAAGGGTGGTATCGACGGTGGTCTGGGCATCCGTCGGGGGAGGGGTGGGTGGTGCGTTACCCACGAAAGGGGCCCGGGGCTGTTCAGTTGGGATTGAGCGCTTGGCGGGTTGCGGGGAGGATTTGTGGGAGTGAGGGGGAGTGGTGGAGGTGGTGTGAGACAGAGGGACAGTCGCAGGAGAGTTAGGGTCAAAGATGAGCTTCTCGATAGCGACAATCTGCTTGCCATAGCTGAACTTCTTCAGCTGGCTGAGAAGGGGCTTGATCTGGTCGATGAGGGCTTCACGCTCGGCATCTTTCAATTGGCCCAGCACTTTCTCTGTTGGGGGTTAGTATAGCACACAACAAGTGATGGGGTTGGACTTACGAATGACATAGTTGCCATACTGGTCACGCATGAGACCAAGGAGAGGACTCTCGCCGCGGTCGTTCGTAGAGGTTAGGGTACTGATGATGTGGATACGCTCATGTTCCGCACCGAACTCAATGCTCTTCTCAACCACGTTGCTAGCAAACTTGTGCTTGGAGTAGGCCAGGAGCTGTCCCATGACAATGTCAATCATGCGAGTGCGATCCTTCTCGTCACCGTTCTCAATAACGTGTTGGATGACATAGTTGCCAAACTGGTCAGGGATGAGGTTGGATGTGCAGGCATGAAGCTCGGCCAGAATGGACTGGCGGTCTACCTCCTCACAGTGCTCAAGCATTCTCTGAATGACACGGCAGCCATAAGGATGGGCGGCGAGCCTGTTGACCTGGCCGCGGAAGGCATTGATGATGAACTGCACGTACTGCGAAGGAACACGCTCAATGGCCTTCTGGATGACGTGGTTGCCGTTCTGATCACGAACACACTTGAGGACATGGTTCTCCAGCTCCTTGACCATCGCAGCTTGCTGGTCAGTCAGGATGTGCTCCAGGGCCTTCTGGACCACTCGACACCCATACATCTGGGTCGACAAGGCCAAAACATGGCCGCGCATCTGGTTAGCCAGTATTTTCTTCTGAGTCTGGTTGCCGTGCTCGAACAACTTCTGGACGACGTAGTTACCGAAGACATCAGTCATCAACTGAAGACAGTTGGGCTGAATCTCACGGAACACCTGCTCTTTCTCGTCGCTGTTCGCGGTCTCAAGCTTCTGTTGAATGAAGCGAGAGCCGTGCTGGTCACCACTGAACTCAACAACATGGTTGTAGATGTCCTTCAGCTCGTAGCGCTTGTTTCCCTTGCTGTTGGCCCTAAACTCTTCTAGGAGGGGGCTGCGGACAACCTGGGTGGGATCATGCTCGCGCTGAGTGCGCGAAACGAGAGCTGCGGCACCGAGGCCACTAAGTTGACCTACTGGGTAGAATCCGGAGATAGCGTTCAGACGAGAAGCCTGGTAAGCTTGGAAATCGTAAGAAGGAGGGTACTGCATCCGCGAAGAGCCTTGGGCAAGCTCCTGCTCCTGGAAGTTTCGGAGCCTGCGCTCAAAGGCTGCCACTTGGCTTTCATTTGCACCTGTGTTGCGGTACTGGGCGGCAGTGCCGTCCACGCCGGTGTAGATGGGGCTATCCATGCGGGCATAGTCCGATGGTGAGATCGAGCCAGTGTTCGCGGCTCTAGATCGTGCGTGGTAGGCAAGCTGCATCTCCTGTGCAGCATCTCCGGTGTATCCAAGTGCTTGGTAGGCGTCTTCGTTGTTCTGATACTTCCCACGCTGGAAAGTGCCATCAAAGGATGCATGAGGAACGAACGAGGGTCGCTGAGCCGCTTGGGACGCATAATTGGCTTCGTTGAGCTGCAGCTTGCTAAACCCGGCGTTGAGGTCCATCGAGCCACCGCTGTAGCGGCCATCGATGCTGTGATTGTCGGAGTAGAAGGAGGGATGGGCGGAGTGAGCTGGACGTTGAGTGGTGTAAGAGGCGGAGTTGTGAGAGGCGTGCGATAGTGCGCTGCGACCCTGGGGCGGAGACATATGCTCGGCAATTCCAGATCCCAATGATGTCATGCCCATTGAAGCACCCATGCCATCTCCGCTTGCACCATCGAGAGGGTTCGCAAAGCCAGGCTTCACAGGGAAAGTCGCTCCCACGGGGCTGCCACCGAGACCGGTCGTGTTCATCTGTCGTCGGCCAGCAAACCCACCGAAGGAGATGCCTTCTCCGGACGGGGACACACCCTCCGACGCAGCGTTGAGGTAGGGTCGGTGGCTCGCGGTGCCAGCGGCGGTGCTGATGCCAGAAGTGCGAGGCAGAGCAAAGTAAGAGCTATCACTAGCTTCGTTGATAGCAGGAGCACTGCGGTCATTTGCACGAGTCTGGGTGGGTGATGTGGCGAGGCCTCTGTTCTGGAAGGAGGGGTTGGTATTGACAGTGCTCCATGGCAAGTTGGCACGTCCCGACCAGCCGTCTGACTCCGATGTAGAGAGAAGGGAACCCGATCCTGACTTCCCTTCGAATGCAGTCTCGCCAAGGTGTTGCTCTGCAAGCTGCGTCAGCATAGTCCAAGTCGCAATTGGTACACGAGTCACTCACCATCTCCGAATCCTCCAAGGTTGGAGTCACCCCAGATGTTGTTCTTCCAGCTAGCCTTACTAGCACCGAAACCCTTGCCGACACTGTTGCCTTGTGGTCCGCGGTTGCGGTCGTTCATCCCGGATGAACTCATGTTGGAAGCCCGGTTGGATCGTGCCTAGATTCGCTGTTATTATTGGCATTCGATTGATCGACATCCACGGTGCCACTCACGTTGTGTACGCTGGTTGCATTTGCGGCCATGGTAGAAGCCATCCCAGGAAATCTCCGATCGGCAGAACAGTAATTCGATATGTACTCGAACGGCGAGGATTATTTGTAGGTGGTTCGGAGAGTTGTCTCGTGGTAATAAATCACAGAGCTGAGACGATCGGCCGATGCTGTGTCGACTAGTATTTGCAAACGGGCACCAGGCACCAGAGACGGCGTACACGAAGGAATATAAGACTGCGATGAGAAGAGGGGCTGGTTAGCAGGGTTTGGGCCATCTTGGGAAGTGTTGCATCGGGATGCCAGATTTGGAGACAGGTACAAGGGCATCTAGGGTGTCCAAGTGTCTGAAAGGAAAGGCTCACCAAAAGAGGGGATAGAAGGGATCACAAGAAAGAGCGAACGAAGAAAACGAATGTCGTCTTCTGTATTGCTCAGCGGCGAACCCAGGACATGTACAGATTATACAGGAGTAAGAGAGGAAGGGAGACGGAAGGGAGGAAGAGCGACGAGCTCTGAATGAAGCGAGAAATGCTGGAAGGTCGATCGAGCCTGACAGCGATAGAAGATGCAAGGTGACAAAGAATTGGAACGATTATTATCACCCTTTCGTTTGCTGCAGCTGTGGGGTTGCAGGTTGGTAGCCGGAAGGTTCAGAATTGAGGAGGCGCCGCGACGTTACTCTGCTCCGTGCATGCTCCAGGAATCTCCCAGTGTGCAGATCGTCCTCATGTGCCTTATGGAGAGGCGATCCCCGAGAATGGCAATCAGAACGTTGGGGGACCCTAGATTGATTGGCGTAGGCAAGGGGTGGTTTCGATGTCTGAGGGGGGGAAGATTTTCGAGGAACTAAAAGAGGATAATGGAATGCGCTCGCGCAAGAAGGATGAGAATCCGGGATTCAGTGGGTCGATGGAAGGGAATGTGGACGAGAGACAAGGCACGGCATTAATGTAGTCCAGCTGTCACACAGGCGGCAGCATGACAGCCCAAGGGTTTTTTTTTTGTGTGGCTGTTCTGGGGTGGGTTGATGGGTGAGGCGGTGATGGAGGGAAAAAAAGAAAAAGGTCAAAAGAAGAGGAGACGGTTGGAATAAAAGGAAGACAATTAAAAAAAAGAGTCACACGAAAAAGAGAAGAAGGAAAAGAAAAGAAAAAAAGAACAGAACAGAGTCAATTGGATAGATAACAAGAAGAAAGATGATTTCTCAGGCAGATCAGCCGCTGTATTGCCGCGTAATACCGTGACCATGTGAACAGGTCGATCATGGATTGGATATGGTGGTACTTGGATTTAGGTTAAAGTTTAGCTGTGAACCCAGGTACCTTTTCAGCCATTTGTTCATGGCGCATGTATGTGACCGTCACCGCGATCTACCTCCCGGCGCTTCTTTTTTAGCCTGGCCCCATCTCTTTGTCTTGTTTTTACATCTTGATATTGTAGTACAATACAAAGTATACATATACATATACATATATAACATATATGGATACAGCTTTCTATTGAACTTCATTCTATTACATATTGTATTGCAATTCTATCTCTCAATACTCAAAGACTCCCTACACTGCCCTATTAGGTAACAAGTCACATCATCTCCCCATGGTCTAACTTAATACATCAACAAGCAGACCCTGGAACAGTACCGAATGGGCCATGTAATAGGGGTGAACGAGCAAATCTGAAGTCATCATTGGAGAGATTTAACACTTCGGCCAAAAGTTCCTATCCACTCCACTAAAGGAACTCCCTGGTATATCTGTTGACCATGGAACCCCTATAAGACAGAGCGTACTCCCGAATAGAGCCGGTGCCTAATATAGAGAAGAAGGTTTTTCGCTAAAAAGAATCAGGAAAAAGGAATTCAGCTTCAAACCCGAGGTTCTACCTTACTACTACAAAGTAAATAATGAAGCTTTAATATAATTCTCGGCAACAGCTTATCTTAAAGATTGAAGGTTTCTGGAGGTCCGATCGGGCCCACTAAGCCCCTCCCACTTTAGTCTTAACCACAAGTAAGGTACACTCTATATATACCTATGCCCTATCTTAGGATATTATCTTTCAAAGCTAGATCTCGACTTGATACTCTTTACTTTAGACCTTGGAACATCTCATATAACGTCCGGTTGGATCCGGAAACATTCTTGACAGAAAGAGCCAAGGGCCGCCACTTTTCTAACTGTGGATTGCGGATTACCTGCCATTCCAGGATTGGCAAGGCGTCTCTCGTTGGCTTACTTTCTCCGCCTGGTCAGGAACTCAATGGTGCGAGGGGGGGGATAATATTTGTTTCGCTCCTGTGTTTTGGCCTTTTTTTTCCTTTTCTTTTTTCTTTTTGTTCATGTTCTGTCTGTTTTTCACCCGTGTGGCCGTGCGCTGGTATTGGTATTGCCCTCCAATCCCTTGATTCTAACTGTCAATAAGTCAATGATCCAAGTCAAACCCCAACTGCGAGTTGTGCAATAGTCTCGCGCGCGACCATCGATAGAAGTACGCTTCGGGACCTGAGAAGTGCCAGATCCAGAAGAATTATCCGTGGAAAAAGGTTCTCGACTGGGTAGACTTCCGTAGACTCGGCCAGCCCCTTGCTTCGGCGCATCGTCACACTGACCCTTGGATAAATCTGCGGGTAAAAGTGTGGGATGCAGCCTGTTAAATGACGAGACCTAGGTTCTTACTGTCCGGATCAGAAGCCCATAGAAAGAAGAGAAGAAAAAAACGGTCGTCATCTAGCATCTGTTGGTGAACATTTGCCGTCAATGTGCAGTGTCCAGTCATCGCGGTGTAATCCCTCCCGGCGAGATTGGCAAAAGGCCGAGACATCGACTGGCAAAGGGAGAGTCTGACAAGGATACTCGCCTTTGAATCCTTGCACAGGGGTCGCACAGGTCAAGTGTCAGGCCATCACTCGCAGAAACCTTCCCCGGATCTGATCTCTGAGGGGCATTACCTGCCTTGCGTCCAACTCCTGTAGGCTTCGGCACACTCACTGGTCTCGAGCGCGATGGCCGCTGGCTTGCAGAGACTACCAGGCGTTGGCCGTGTGACCAGTTCCCGGGTACTAGGTTGTTCCTTTTCCTGTCAATATCGTTCTTTCTCCGAGCTTGTGAGGTATCGGATTGTGTGTTGGCGGCCCTGACCGCATTATAAAAGGTGCAGAGTCTGCTCACTACGATGTACGCCAAGGTAGCGTAGGACATGTCAGTCGGTGCAGTTGACAAATTTTGATAGCGACTTAGTGTTAGTTGTGTTTTTGATCTCGAGTGTCAGGTCTTGGCAGTGTCAATAGAGGCCGGGGTGGGTTTTGTTGTAGAGTATAAAATCCGTACTAGATCATGGACACTAGGCCTCTGGCTTTTTGGGTTGATGGAAGATTTCTGACTTCTAAGGTTAGTTTTAATTGAAGCCCGATATATACTTCCATTGCTGTCTCTCATGTGTCAGCACACTAGTCAAAGGCCCACACATAAGAACTTAAAGTACAGACCACTGATCAGATTATATTCTGCAAATCAACATACAGTACGGAGTATTGTTTGAACGATATTTGAAAGGCGCATTAAATACCCAAACACGAAAGACGAGGGCTGTTGCCTAAAGATCATGCCCGGCGCTCATTATATATGATGAAGGAATAGCTCTCCTAGCACCACCCTACCAGTAATTAAGTGCACCAAGCACCGAAAGACCACGCACCAAGTACTTCCGTGGAATTGAGTACTTTCTTTGTGGCACTGGGACCTCGTGCTGTGTGTCCCCGATGTGGCGGCAGAATCTATGCAAGAAGGATACATGCAGTTTAGGCGATTGATACAATTAACATGTGGCAAATAGTGGCTATAAGGATCTTGCATGTCAGGTGTATGAATACTCTGTACTTACTCCGGCTTTTTTTTTTTGCTAGAACTTATTCTCTCAACGGGTTTTTTTAATATAGCCTATTCCATTGTGATATAGTTATATATTTAGCACGTGAGTACTTTCTATATATGTCGACATGGGCAAACATCCGAGCTTAACACATTACTTTATTTTGAAATAATACAGTGGGAATGGGATTAGATATTGATTATGGCAATGATTTCATATTTGAAGAAATTCAATAAAAAATATACAAGCATACTAAATCATGGTTATTCTGCAGCTTGTTTACAGACCTCGGTATAGTTCAACGACCGAGTCAACCTCACTCATATTATACAATAACTCAACTGTTTCAAAGTCAACAATTTGGTCCTTACCTCTTTTTTATTATTTCCCAACAAACAATGGTTGCTATTTACTTATACTAGCAGTTGTGCTTGGCTGACGCGTACTAGGGCTTTGTTTATGTCTCGAAGATCAGGTGCATGACCTCATCTCCCTCCACATATTTTTGAAACACTCATTTCCTGCTTATTCTTGCACGAGTATCGGCCTCGAGAGAGCACAAATCATGTCACCGTATAGACAATTAGGCTTCGTTTTATTGCACCGTAAACCCAAATCCGAGTGATTCACGCTTGTGTGACCAGACTAAGCACTAGCCATAGCAACCTCTCTTTTTTACAAAACATTTACTCTTGAAGATTACGATGTAAATCTATACTACACAGCATGCATAACATACTTGTAGTTCAGAATTATGCGAGTTTATGAGCGTGGGCCTCAGGGGAACCAAAATAAACAGGCATAGTTCAGTGGAGTCGCCCGGCGAATAAGAGGGCGCCGTTTGCCTCCGGAGGGCCCGTTCTCCAGGCACAGAGAGGCTATGATTGGCTGACCCCTGCGGCCAAGAGGCCCCGAGCAACACCCAAGGAACAACACTAAGCTCCGAATAGCTTAGCTCTACACTAACAATAGCAAGCGTTCTAGGCTTACAACCTTCTCCTCTTCTCCCCTTCCTCCCTTTTTTGTTTTTCCCTTCATTCTCACTCATCCCCTCCATTCTTTTCCTTCGCAGGTGCCAGCTTCACTCTTTCAGCGGCTCACCTTGCTGTCCATTCTTTAACCTACTCACTTTCGTTTTCGACTCTTCGCCTTTTTTCGACACGATCCCGTGACTGATAATCTGTGCGCACATTCCATCGTCCTTGACTGTTTACTTCCCCGGATTGATTCCGTGACCTTCCTTGGAATCCGAAATCGACGATCACATACATATCTGTCGTTTTCCGATCATACAATTCTCAGACTCGGTATCGAAAATCCAACCGTCGACAACCGACAATCGACAAGATGAACAACCTATTCCCCCGCATCGTTGCTCGCGATGACAGCAATGGTGGACTCTCCAACGCCATGGTCGACCTACTCATTGCCCTTCTGGTCCTCGTCCTGCTATCCCTCGCCCTGGTCGGTGGTCTGCTCGTCCTCCGCCGCAAGCGTCAGTCTCGGACCCAAAACTTGCTCCCAGTCCACAATGGAGAGTCCCCCAACAGACGCCGCTTAACCATTTCCACGAATAAAACCGATTCCGTGCTTGTCTATGATGAGAAACGCAGCCTCATGGAAAACTCCGACAGCCCTCCACCTAGCCCTGTACCCGAGATCCGCATTACCTTCCCAGAGGAAGAAGATGCGAGCGGCAAACGTACCTCTGGCCGCATGGTCGTTGTCCGCATCAGTGACGCCGGCAGCATCGGCTTGGAACCCTGCCATGAGGAGCTTCCGCCCTACCAAAGCACCGATACCGGTCGCTTCCAGTCCCTGGATATTGAGCGGATGGGTGGATTGAAGGAGAAAGACGAGACGAAGACATATCATTAAAGGCGTGTTGTCAAATCAACTTGCCCAATTGGCCGACCGCGTATCCCGCCCGCATAGCGCTCAATCTCTCTTCAACCTTCGACGACTTCTCAAAACGAGTACCCTGGCAAACATCTTTTGCGATTCTACCTCTTACATACCCTTCCTTCCCTGATTTGGCCTACGTGGCTTGCACATATGCCCTTCGGTTTCCATTTTGGTTTCACCAAAGCACACTGTCAGAGTACCCAGTTTCTGGTATCTTACACTGCTTGGATTCCAATATTCATCGAAGCTGGATCGTTCATAGCGAGGGCCTGCCGATTTTTTCTCTATTTGCTTTCTGGCGTCTGATTTCTTAAGCCTGGTTCCTCATGTCTCTTTCGCCCCTGCTACGTTCCTAGGGTCCGATATACGTGTGACAGTATTCCTGCTTTTGACTTTCTCTTCTTCTTCCCCCTTTATGGGGTCCTATTTTTATGTTTTAGGGGCCCCCTCTATTTTACTTCCCTTCTCATGTGCCTTTTTTTACCCGGTACTCGGCAGCTGGATAATGTATGTACTTAGTCCTCCTATGTTTCGCCGTATTTAGGCAAATCTGAAATCTATCCTTTTCTCTGAATTCTTTCTCTTTTTCTTTTCTGTGTATATAGTGGGTGTAACTATGTACTTGATTTCCTCTGAGATTTCTTGGCTTTTCAGTGTTGAGGGCAAAACCGTCTCACAAGCATAATAAGCCCTGGAGGATTATAGCTCTGGAACTCCCGCAATGTATCCACGGCCGGCCAATGAGAAACGCCGATGCCGAGTTCCCCAACCCGTGGGTTCCGCGACTGTCACGAATTATTTTCTTTGCTTAAACAGCTTTCCCCCTAATTGCGCCTCGTAACCATACATTTCTCCTTCAAACAATGTGCATGTTATAGCTTTTTAATACATAGGGAAGCCGTTCGACAGAGCACAGAAAGGGGTACAGACCTCCGCAATCTCCTCCGCCCCCGCCTATACTTTTTCTCCGACTTCGATGGACCTCGCTTGAACCGGTTCAATCGGCTCAATCGTGCTTGCTCCCGGCTTCCCTGTCCCTGAAAAACACACCGTGCTCATCGTTAACGGTCCCTTCGGTATCCCTTCGGCCTCCAGCAGCCAGATCTGCGACCTGGCGCGCCAGCTACCCCCGAACTCGACCTGAGACCGTACAATAGACCTTGGAAATGGTAGCCACACCACCTGCAGGGAATATGGGGACTAGCCCAAACCCTAACGGCCCTAAAAGCAGTCTTCCAGCTGCCACCCCTCGCAGCTCCGATCAATCGTCTGGCGGGCAGTCCAAGCGCAAACAAGCTGGTCTGTTGGACAAGAAGGCGCTGGAGCTTGAGGATGAGTTCAAGATCAAGCATTTTGGTGTGATGGGTGTTCTGGCGTGGATATTGTGAGTGGTCCCTTCTTAAGCCTAGCAGAGCTTGAGGTTTAAGGCCCGCTGCAGGCTTGACGCGTTGAAAAATAAATTTGAACTGACGCTGGATAAATGATAGACTCTTGCATATCGCCGGGATTTATCTGTTCACAAAAGGGTTTCTCCTCACGCGCATGGTCCTTGAGAACAAATCATCATGCGACGTATTGCCTTTCGAGGACATTTTGGCCCAACCACACACAACAGCCCTGGGGAGTAAACAGCAGAAAGGCTGCTGGCATGAGAAAACCTTTGACAAGGCCGTTGTCATCATAGTCGACGCCCTCCGCTATGACTTCACTGTGCCATTCGCGTCGAAGGGAGAGAGTGACACAGTCCACCTCTTCCACAATAACATCCCTGTCCTCTATGAGACTGCAGTGCAAAACCCCGCCAACGCCTTCCTCTTGCCATTCATCGCGGATCCCCCGACAACTACTCTAAACCGCTTGAAAGGTCTGACCACCGGAACCCTACCCACCTTCCTGGAGGCAGGCTCCAACTTCGCTGGAACCGCCATCGACGAGGACAATCTTGTCGCACAGTTGCATAGCGCCGGGAAGAACCTGGTTCACCTTGGCGACGATACCTGGCAGGCGCTGTTTCCGGGATACTTTGATACCAATCTCACGCATGCGTATGACTCGTTCAATGTCTGGGACTTGCACACCGTCGACAATGGCGTCACGGAGCATCTCTTCCCGCTCCTCCAGCCGGAGAACAGCAAGAAATGGGATGTTATCTTTGGCCATTATCTCGGCGTAGATCATGCAGGTCATCGATATGGTCCTAACCATGCTGCCATGGCATCCAAGCTCCAGGAAATGGACCGTGTCATTCGCGATATCATTGCTGCGATCGATGATAAGACTCTTCTTGTCGTTATGGGAGATCATGGGATGGACATTAAGGGCGACCACGGCGGCGAGTCTGATGACGAAGTTGAGGCCGCGTTGTGGATGTACTCTAAGCGTGGCATCTTCGGACGCACAAGCAAAGATACGCTCCTCCCGCCCCAATTCGCGCGCGACAGATTTGTGCCTCAGATCGACCTCGTTCCGACGCTGTCTTTGCTCCTTGGAATGCCCATCCCGTTCAATAACCTAGGCTCGCCTATTGAAGAGGTTTTCTCCGGCCCACGTGGGAACAACTGGGCAAACTTGGCGACTGTCAACCGTTTGACTGCAGCCCAGGTTAAGAGATATCAGCACGAATATGCGCTTGCTAGAGGAGCTGGTGATGATGAAGAGTCGGCTTTGCTCTGGACTGCTGCAGAGGAGGAGTGGAAGTCTGCTTCCAAGGGCTTTTCATCCAAGTCGACCGCTGCTCGCGCTAGCAATGAACTCTTCCGCAAGTATCAGCGTCATACTCTTGATATCTGCCGTGGATTGTGGGCTCGATTCGATGTCCCGAGCATGATCCAAGGTGTTGCGATTCTCTTTGCTAGTATTGTCTTGTTGATCATCTATGCCCGAGGCTTGAAGACAGATCGAACCCAACTCACGTCTCGTTTGCTTCAATTCGCAAGCGTGGGTGCTGGCGTTGGCGCCGTGGTCGGTTCTGCATTCGGCTTGACTGGTCTGACCGAGATGTCTATGGTCGATGGAGCCGTGCTGCTGGCTGCTGTTGGAAGCATCCTCGGAGCCACGCCGGCTCTCGTCAAGAGGCCTGCAAACCTGACCCTGCCTCTTCCGAACGGCATGTGGGGATGGCTTGCGCTTTTCTTTACTGTTTCTCAGTCTATTGGATTTTCCTCGAACTCGTACACTATTTGGGAAGACGAAATTCTTCTGTTCTTCCTCACAACATTCGGCGTGTTCGCGGGTGTCTCATCCATGCGACAGAAGCAGACCACGGACCGAATCCTGGGTGTGTACCACTCCATTCTCTTCGTGACCTTGGGCCGAGTCGCGTCTTTCTCCCGCCTCTGTCGTGAAGAACAGATGCCCTTCTGCCGCTCCACGTACTATGCTTCATCGACTTCTTCCACCTCCGCCCCCTGGCAGCTTGCCATTCCTTTCCTGGTCACGCTCTTCCTGCCTAGTGTTGTGCGGTCCTTCTACGCCGGCTCCAAATCCTATGAAGGCGCCGCATCGCTATGGATCGGCTTTGCCTTCCGCTTCGGTCTCTTCATCACCTCCCTATTCTGGATTCTCGAAGGTGCCGACGATGGCGAGTGGCTACCCGTAAGCAAGGAAACCCTCAAGTTCGTCCGCGTCTTCCTAGCGCAGTTCGTCCTCGCCCTCGCGCTCTTAGCAGGCACCGCAGCATACTTCTATTCCAAGCCCTGCGTCAGCATCAACGTGAGCAAACCCACCGAAGATCCCAACAGCCCACCGACCCCTATAGTCGCCGGCCAGCAACAAGGCCCACGAACAACGGTCACAATCCTTGGCTTCGGTAACGTCTACGGAACCAACTTCTGCTTCCTACTCATCAACTTCGCTCTCGCCATCATCCTCATGCAGAAGCCAATGGGCCAAGGCGCCATCGCCCTCCTCCTCTGGCAAATCCTCTCTCTCCTCGAAATCCTCGACACAAACAGCCTAACCATGTCAAACTCCTCCATCGGTCCCGTCATCCTAGGCGTGCTCGGTTCTTTCTACTACTTCAAAACAGGCCACCAGGCCACCCTCTCCAGCATCCAGTGGGAAACAGCCTTCATCCCTCTCACATCAATCCAATACCCCTGGTCCCCACTACTCGTCATCCTCAATACCTTCGGCGCACAGATCCTGGCTGCCATCGCCGTCCCCCTCACCGTCCTCTGGAAACGTCCCCTCCAGACTCACGACCGTGTCCCAGCTTCAAACCCGAACAAGAACCCAGCCACACGCATCCTCTCCGATGTCGTACAGGCTGCTGGAACCCATATCCTCTACTTGGCGACTATTAATCTCGCCACGACTATGTGGGCTGGCCATCTCCGTCGCCATCTCATGCTCTTCCGCATCTTCAGCCCTCGCTTCATGATGGGCTCGGTTGTGCTGGCTGTTGTTGATGTCGTCTTGATGGTGGTTTCTGTCGGTGGTGTGCGCTGGAGTACTCTCAGTGTTGGTGAGATCTTTGGTTGGTGATAGTGGCGTTTTGAAAAGGAATTATGGGCTGGGGAATACAAGTCTCAATCTTAGGTTGGACACAGAACTTGCATGCTTGGATATGTGCATTTCTGTCCCCAGATCTCTCTTTCCGTCGTTCACTCACTACAACCTTTTCCTACGGCTACAGCCTTGTACACAACAAACCACGCATCTTTCCCCTTTGCATCGCCTCGCTCTCACACTTGTACATGTGCCCTTTATCACACTTCCCTTCTTTCTCTTTCCTATTTCTTTTTGGTTCGACTACATGTGTCCGTAGTTAGGTACTTATTATAATCGTGACTACGGTCTATTAAATAAACAAACTACATATAAAGCCATTATATGTCCACTCTAGATATCTACACCACGGCCCACGGATCAAATCGGTTAGGTTCGCTTTATACTGGGATAAACAATAATTGTTGTCCATGGTATCTTAGCTTGGCGACATTGGCGTCAGTCTTATCCTTCAGGACTGCGTAGAGTAGGGCGTGGTGTGCTCTAGGACAACAGTGTCGTGGCAGATGACGACTAGCTTCCTAGGCATAAACAGACACTAAGCGGGAAAGCTACGAAAGAAAATTTTAATAATGATATCAAAACGAAGCAATAACAATAACAACAACGAGGCCCCGTGGGGACTATTGTTATAAATCCATAGCTGTACAGAAGCAGAGAAAAACCAAGATAAGACGGAAAACACCAAAGAAAACACTCCATCCACGCGGCCCCACAAGCCATGTCTTTTGCCGGTTCTAGAATCAGCTGGCACTATGTACATGTGCAGCAGGTTGTGACGGCCTGCGCGAGGAAAAGGACGAAGCGAATCCTCGATGAGGACGGAATGGATGGATGATGATGGGGGTAGGTGTTTGAAACAAAGAACATAACAACAACATGATGGTATTCCAAGTCTAGTCCTCATCATTTATTCCAGTCAATGCCCTTCATGGCACCAGGGCGCAGGACATGACGTTGTTATATCTTGGCTATGCTATGTGGATGTTGGGAGGTGTCTAGCTGTATTCCCACTTTCTTTGGTGAGTGTGAATACTTTCTGCAGGATTCATGTTAGCGAAGAAAAGATCCGAGTGCGGTAGTTTAAACGTACGTTTGAACGTCCAACATAGCTTGGATATCAGCGAACCGCTCGGCAGATGTATCTTGGCCAAGGGATGGGAGGGCCTAAGCCGACGGAGAGTCCAACAGCGATGGCGCGAAGTTGTTGGCGGAGAGATAGCCTATAGGACCTTTGGCCTTAGAGATCTGTCTGGTAAAGTAGCGTCATGGTGCACGGTATAAGAGAGAGATTGACAAATGGATGATGAGGGCAACGGACAGACTGAATCACGATCCTGGATGAGGAGGAAATGAGTCACGTAGGAATCTGAAGAATCTATTCTCCACTATCCGTAGCTTTTGGTCAAAGATAAACCGAGGTCATTGCTGATATGTAGCTACGCCCAGACAATTGCTGTCCCCAGGAGAAGTATCCATGGATGTTCGAGCTGATCTTTTGACCCGATAGGGCTGCTGATGTGCATTTCTCCCCCATAGAGAATGCCCCGAAGAAATGGGAACAGAGACCCCTGCCATGGGTTCAAACGCAAAACCCATAATTAAAAAAGAGAAGGAAGGAAACATGGCCGAGCCATTTTGAAGTGGCTTCGATGTCCATTGGCTTCAGCATGACTGTTGCTATGGCGATTTATGCTTTAGCCATTGTTGTGCTGAGAATCTGGTGTTTGGTTATACCCAGGTTAGCATCGAGTTATACAGTCATACAGCTCTAGACTGTCTCCAGTAGACATATGTGACACTCTCTGCTGACCTTTTTAGAGAAGTCTGCGGAAAAGGCAGATTAGGAGATGTAGACTCTCTGTCTGAATGGCTATGAAAAAAAAGGGAAGAGGAGAAGAAGACACGAATATGACGAAGATGAAGAAGGAGAAGAAGGAGTAGAGAAGAAAAAAAAGAAGAGAAGAAGTGGAAGGAGCGAGAGATGGAAGGCTCTGAGGAAAGTACGAAGTTATGTGACGCGACTCCCAAAACACGGGGACTTTCCTAAATAAGAAAAGAAACCCCTCTTGTCTACACTCGTTTTAATAGACAGAATTACAATAAGAAAAAGAAAAAAAAAAGAGTAGAATAGGGAACGAGAAAAGCCAAAATAGCCATCTATAAACTTCCAACGTTGGCAGATGAGACATAGACACAATCCAATATCAGGTACCTAATCTACAGGAAAAGAAACCCGGAGACAACCGCAAGGATAGACAAGAAACCCAAGCTACCAGCGCTCAAGTTCGAAGCGGCATTGAAAACCGGCGAAGCGGAGGGTGCACTGGGACGAGAAGAAACCGAGCCAGAGCTAGACGGTGTAGCTGTGTTAGCAGCAGTGATAAGGCTTCTAGTAGAACCAGGACAGTTAGGTATAGCAACAACAGACGAGCAGGATATGAAAACTGACCCAGAAGCCGAAGCAGAAGTCGTCTTCGAGGTAGTCGAGGAAGAAGTCGAGTTCTTAGAACCAGTGAACTCGATACTCTCATAAGAGCCGGTCTGATCAGACCAGGTATAAGACTCAGCCGGGTTATAGTTGACGATAGTGACGTCCTTGATATACATAGTGAAGGGAGTTTTGCTGTAGTCGGTTGCGCCGCCGGCCCATTGGATCGTGCCCTCCGCATTGCTTGGGTCGCCGCCGGCCCAAATGCCGATACGCACGTTCATGGGGGTCTGGGGATATCTGGTGCCGGATTTTGCGTCGTTGAAGGAGAGCGTGCGGATCACTTTTCCGTCAACGGACCAGGTGGTGGCTTCTTTGGTCCAGACTACTTTGTAGGTGTGGAATGTCTCCTGGGGTGTCGAGACAGGTTCCCAGATCGCGCGGTCGTATGTCGTAGTATCTCCTTTTCCGAAGTAGTTCGTCTCGATTTGGGTCGTGTCGCCGCCAACGGCTTCCTGAGACAGGGAGTAAGGTTAGATATACGAAAGATAGGAGGGAATGAGCATAGTAACTTATGACTTACCCAGTCAATCTCGTCAAGATCATCCGACTCAAGCACGATACTGCTGACGATGCCAGTGCCGGGGGCCGCTTTCATGGTGACCGATACTTCGCCGAAGAAGATGTAGAAGTCGGTCTTAATGGTGGGAGCATCGCCTTGCTTGCTGACAGTAAACTCGGCGCCGTTTGAGCCTGTCTTGACGTTGCCGGCAGTAGTCTTCCACTGATCTAAGCCCGAGCTCTTGGTGAAGTCGAAAGTGTGTCTCGACTCGGTTGTGCCAACGTTGGCCGGGCATGTTTCTGTAGCATGTCAGAAGGTGTTGTGTCTTGAATTCTTGAGTGTGAGATACTTTTCATTGGATTGCAGTCGCTGAAAGTTTGGCCTGAGACCAGAGTCGCAGCGGCCAAGCCTGCAGCGGCATACTTCAAGTAGCACAGCATTTGAGATGTTGGATTGATATAAGAATGGAAATATGTAAAATAAGATATAAAGAGAACGAATAAAAGAAAGAGTCCGCGAGGTTAGCAACCAAGAGTAGTGACAGGCAGTTCTCGGAAAAGACAGTATAATAGACCTCAAGAGAATGGAGTGGGAATCGAGAGTGTTTTAATATTATAGCTACATATTCCTCCACTATTCTATCATTAAAAAGTTCTACCTAATATCTACATCCCCGCGACTTGAGACACGTTCTTTGGTGCCGGTTATTTATAGTCGGGGATAAATCCCCGATCAAACTCGGCTATGTGTTTTCTCTCCAATTTCACCAATGAGTTGGGGCCCTGAATAAATTAACTACATCATTTTATCTTCTTGTACAACTAAAAGTGTCTAATTGGCTCCGATTGGTTCGGCCTTGTAGGTTTATTGCATCCTGGAATTTCGCTCTGTGGATATAAGCAGGCTATGCCCACTCAAAAGTGGAACGGGGAGTTTGCAGTTTTACTTCAGCCCTATATTAATCTGTACAGCAAACATAGAAACGAGTATTGTATTCCAATATGTCAACTCCTAGACAGATACATTATACATTACATTCAAGAATCCATGCGCGAGATAGTCAAGACCGTAGAAAAGCGAATCAGATGCTAGGATCATTTCCAAGATCAGGAAAATCATCGCTAAAGGGTGTAAACATCTCATTATCCGGAAAAATGGGCAACATCTCAGAGAAATCATCCATTTCAGCCAGTAGGGATGGGGCAAAAAGGGGAATGGCGTCAGCGGTTGAAGATAGAAATAAGCCGTCAGACACCCAAGGTTGCAATGCATTTGAGTGAGACTGTACTGGCTGTACTTGGTGATCTCGAGTTATCACCATTGCATTTGGTTTCTCGTCGAAAACTCCCCCAGAAAGAGATAAAAAGTGGCAGAAGATCGTCCGTGCTTGAATAATTGGACGGCTTGTTGTTTCAATGCGAGTCAAGCAATTGGCAATCGTTGTTATGAGTTTGAAGTCATCAGTATCTGATGTTGCGACGACATTACAGAATAGCACGAAGTATGCGGTGATAGGGTAGACGAGAAGTGTCCTAAAGATCTAGTCAGAGCTCATTCCAATTCTAATATGCAGGACACAGCTTACCAGTGCAACAAGGCCACCGTGCTTTGCCTTTCAGCAGATATACATATCGACACTAATGAAGATATGCCCTGGTGGGCTTCTAGCAAACACTGTTTCCGTATATCAACGGACTGGTATCCTGTACCTTCGGTGATATGGAAAATGGTGGTCATAACTGAATGATAGGCGAATCGAAGAGCTGATGTTTCAGATTGAGCATCTAGCCCTTTCCAGGCCGGATATGGACCCAAGATCTAAGTAATGAGTCAGTGATGCAAATAAAAATGTGTCAGGAGTTTTCTCACTCGCTCGATCCTCTCTTGAATTTGTCGCATATTCGCCAACCAATGTTGCCAGATTCCATGGGAAGATGATAAACCACCTGTCAACGTCGATGAGCGCCTCATAAGGTACGGCACGACAGCAGCCTGTACTCCAGCAAGACTCATGTAAATTTGAAAGAGGTCCGAGGTGGAGTGCTGATGGTTGGATAGGTTAGAAGTGAAGTGTCCAATTTCAATATCAAGTAAAGGCTTGGATTTTCCCATCTTGAAAGCAAAATTCTTATCAAGTATATAGCACCAAGCGACACAGTAATACTGCTCTTCACTCACAGCGCCTCCTGTTTTCATGATAGTGTCAAGACCTAGGCTTATACACACCCTGCAGGCAGCTTTGGTAAGTTCCCAGCATACAGTGATGTCACCGGATCCTTGATGGATGAATATCTGATTTTTATTAGATCCGATACTTTATTGCCAGGATTAAAAATACTCACACCGGAAAGAAGTGCCTGTAAGAGTTCGAGAGAGGGACTCGTTAAGAGAGAGATGCTCCGAAGAGCTACTTTTGCTGCCGCCTCGAATTGTACTACGGTATGTGTCATTTCGTGGATCAGTTCACTGTCGATTCCAGTGTTGGTGATGGCAGTCAGAAACTTGGAAGCCATGGAATTGACACAAACAGTGCTGATGAGCAAGTCGTGAGGCGATCCAGTCCTATGAAGGAGAGTAAGTCCCATTTGCTTGAGTGTTGCTTCAGATATATGTCTGAAGTAATCCCTAACAAATGGGCCCAAGCTTGCCTCCTTGATGTCTATTTCAGAGTATCAGAATCAGCCAGTCTCATTGGTTCAGCACCAAGTAATAAGAGAGGTACCTTTTAACATCCAGGCTAATAATTCAAAAGAAGGGGTTCTTATTTGCACTTCATTGACAACGATGTCACTAGCAACGTGCACAGGGTCTTCAAAACTATCTGAGAGTTGAGAAGCCAGCCTCAACCCCGATTCCAAGATCTGGCGGCGATTGATAGTGAGCCATTCCAAATGGTCTAGGTGATACTGAATGGTGGCATGAGCATCATGAAGCGAGAGAGGCTTATCGTAACCCGGAGATGCCCCCCGAGACTGTTGATAGTCCAGCCTGGGATATCCATTGGACGTGGTTGCAGAATGACCGTGCATTTCTGGTGATAGATTTTGCGGATATTGAGGGTTTGGGGTTGCTTGGGGTGATTTTGAACGTATTCGATCTCTGTTTTCTATCACTGCCAGCTGATTGGTGTTTCTGGTTCGCTTTGTGACTCGCAGACGGGAGCATATGGCATTGTTATCCTGGCAGTTGCCACATGGGTTGCCTCTATCACAACGGACCTATGTTTCATTAGTGAAACTTCCTATACGATCCATCCTAACGAAGCTCAATTCACACCTTTCGAGAGAAGCACGAGTCACACTGGAGTAGGGTTTGAAGTCATTAACGTTATTCGCATAGTAATAATTATAAGAGCAGCTTCGTACCACTGGAAGAGGTTTAGAGTTATTATTAAGTACCGGCCCTGATGACATTCTGGTAAAACGAGAGAGAGGATATTGAACGAGTGTGGGACACAAAGAGAGACGTGGTTGCTATTCTATTATCAAGTCGAGGGACCAATATATATTGAAGCGCAAGCCTCTAACTAATCCCTACATTCCTATAGATTGCTATGCTAGGCTGAGTATAGAACCTCTGGAGCTTGATATCCCATATGAAGCTGGTTCCACTTTCTTGCTTCTACATGGATCTCTAAGGGGGCTCTGCTGCGGAATGTTTGTTTTGGTTGGACAACTATGATCTGATCTGTTCTTTATTTCTAGTTTAAACTATTTTGTTCCTATTTTTATAATTTTTATGCGTTTATACCCTTTTCAAGATTGCTAAGCCCCTGATGCGTGTCGGTCTTGGCACGGGTATATATACAGCCCTAACCTCCGAACTCCGTGGCTATTATTAGCTACCCTAAATGTTATTCCGGCTTTATCTAGAAACTGTACTCCGTAAGGCAACGTTAATATAATCTACACTTCACATGGTTGTTCCAGGGCTTTATACCGGGTTTACGTCATAGTCTGTTCACAACCTTGGAATGTGAGTGTACACATTGAATATCATACAGCAGAACACTGGAAAGTCCTCAATTTCAATAAAACAATAAGAATTTCACATTAGGAAAAGAAACACTATTTTCTACTTAGTGAAGTGTTGTTATCACAGAAAAACTGTTGATTACAGACGAAGAACAACAATTCACATGTTCAAGTCAAGTGCAACCCTGTTCCTGATCGACATCAAGTTTCTGCAGCCCCATAAAATCCGAATTGACCGTCTATAATTAATCGGTATGAACATCTTCTACACCAAACAAAGCAATGTATCAGAAGATCTCGTGTATAGATATTCCCCAAGAAATAGGTATAAGTAGGCCTCCCATGCTCTTGCATTGATACATCGCAACAGACAAGTCTCCTCCAACAATCTTCAACACTCCTCACTCAACCTTAAATCCTCTACCATCATGCGTTTCACCATCCTCACTGCTCTCGCCTTTGTTGGCCTTTCCATTGCTGGCTCGGTATCAAACCTTTCATACCTATCATATCCTTCAACTCATCTAATTCAATAATAGATCCCCTCCGGAGGACAGTGCAAGCAGGATGGAAGCTTGGGTAACTGTGAATCTAAGCTCTGCGTGGTATGGCCCTGGATATAACACTTTGCGAAAACCAGAGGAAGATGCTAATTTTGTTCTACAACAGCAACTGGCTAACCAGCCGTTTGGAAAGTGCAAATAAGTTTGCACGCGGACAAGGGTACCTTTCCAGTGCCAGTGTACAGAATCAACTGGATTGATTAGAGACGCGGAGCCACTTTCTTTCATACCATACCGCTAGGATATAGAAACACCGTTTGTTTCCACAATCAACCGATGTAGAATATATGTTAGTAGGCTGTGCTATGTTGTTCACTATTATCTTGATCCTGGCACAAGAAACGCAGCGTCATGTGAAGTCCAGTATAAAACACTGATATATTTCACTAATAAAACCTTCATCCTAATCGCGACAGTCGCTGACAGGCAAGACAACATTGAAAAGAAAAAACTTTTGGGGCGGGAAGGGGGTATTCACAAATGCAACAATTGTCTTGCATCACGAAAAAAACACATGATGTACATGAAGTCGTTTATAGGGGTCATTGGTCATCGAGAGGGGAAACGATTGGGTTATTTCTCGTTAGGGAGAGGTGTGGTGTAACACAAGGAGAGAATGGATGAAAGGAAGTGAGAGGAGAGGGGATCTTGCAGATACGGGCAGTATAAACGAGGAGAGGATAGACACAGAGGTCATCTCGCCCAAGATTGTCATCGCCAAGACGCTCGGCAAGAAAGATGAATCAGCGGGCCCAGCGTGAGAAATCCAAATTCTGGACAATATTCGTGTCTGCCGCTGCATTCCATTCTGCAGCGAAATCGGTCTGTACTTGAGGTGCACGAGAGGGTAGTTCCTCCGAGAAGATGTTGGCTTTGGTATTCCGCCGTAGACCTGGATAAGCCCCTTCGACAGCCTCAGAGCCTTGGCTTTGGGCCGTGAGAGCCCGCTCGCGGACTTTCTTGATTTCTCGCAGACGGGTGGTCCAGGACGAGGTATGCTCGCCACCCTTGTTGTTCCAGACAAGTGAGAAGACGGACGCATTGAGGGCAAGAATGCGAACAAAGGCTGCCAAGTTCTTGCCGGAGATGACCTTTGGTGCCGCAGCAGGTGAGACGTCTGGGAATCCGGGCTTGCTCAAGACCTGCACGCTGTAGTAGAGTTTTTGCGGGTCTTTCTCACCATTGGCATTGCCACTTTCGTCGTAGGCAATCCGAGATGACGGGGTGATGACAATGTTGATGGAGTTGAACTCGGATGGAATTGTATCAAAGTTGAAGGGCAAGTTGGATCGGTTGAACACGATGGTGACATGATTATTGCCAAGGTTCCGTTTCTTGTTGACGCAGGCCGGGTCACGGTCAAAGTCCGTAGGCATCATAGTTGCAACATGATACACAATTTCAGTCACACGATCCCGCCAAGCGTAGGTGTATTCTCCATCAGTATCGGCATACAATCCTTGCGGATTGAATTGAGGGTTACGAAGCGACACTTTGGTTCCCAATCCTGACAGCAAGTTTTCATAATCCGCAGAGCCACCAGTGTTGGCTAAAATATCCGCCTCCTTTGTCTGGCCATTGTCAATATAAACAATGCCGATCCGGTGACCATCCACAATGTCGGTGCGATCAAAGTTACTAATTGCACGTCGAGTGATATCGTCTTCCGGAACCGGGATGGGCTGCATGACCGTAGGTGTAGGGAATGCAGTGGCAGTTAATTGAAGCATGATATGACTCGGAAGGATTGCCGTGCGCATGGAGTCGGAATGCAAATGGGCATCTGGAGTTGGAGGAATTTGATGCGGCAGAACTGGGGCCGTCCGCTGTTGATAGACAGAGTATGTGGTACCAGATGCCTGGCGCTTCGTAATCTGAGACAATCCAGATAATCCGGCGCTCTCGACGGTGACGATACTCATGCCAACAATCCACGACTTCTTTGCAACTGGGCCATCCTCAGGGGAAGGAGGGAATGTTTCGAAGGGGATGGTCTCTCCAAGATCCGAATAAGCAACTCGCTGCATCAAATCAATGAATACTTGGCTTTGTTCTTCTACCACCTCTTTTCCATGTTCGTTGTGATATATGAGTCTGCTAGTGATCCAATTCACATGTTTGGGTCGATCCTGGAGCTTAAGAGACAAGAACCAGAAGACCATGACATGGTAGGTGAGATTCGAGATATACTTTGACATTCCATCTTGGGAGGTCTCAACAGCTTCAGCTGCATGGGCGGCAATTTCCTTGGCCCCGGCACTGAGCCTAGATTGAGGAGGTTGGGTCGGCAGAGAGGCCCTTGCAGCCAATTCAGCGGCTTTGTACCGATGCTCTCGAGAGGTCTGCAAAAATCGAATGCAGATGCCAAACACAGTGCGGATCTCCTCCTCACGCAAGTTGACGTAAACATCGGGCAATCGTGCAAGCAGAGCTAGGAACTCCAAAATATGGACGGCAATGTTTGACATGGTGATCACCTTTGACATCCTATCAAGAATGCTGTTCAATGATTTCGTGACTGACATTGGGATTTCATAGCAACAGAGGGACAGTGCTTGAATGCACCCACGGGATGTGCCGCCCCATGATCCGATGATACCCTGCATGAAAGCTCGGACGAGATCATCCTCTTCACTCTTGGCAAAGTGTTCATGGTAGCTGACAAGCATGCAAAGCGCATCGAAGATGCAGGCAGCCACATCGCTCTTTTTCAATCCGGTAGTCTCAGGAGGCTCGTGGAAGGTTCCATTCTTGACCTGATCACATAAAATGCTACGAAGGAGCGTGATCTGAGGGATAGCATCTCTGAAAAAGTCTTTGTTACCAAGCTGAGGTCCGATATGAGTAAGAATGTAGCTGTAAACATCCCAGTCGACTTCTCGTTGCAACAAGGTGATCACAACTTCAAGCCACATCTTGACCTTCAACAGCCCTGTGTTTCTTGTTACTGTTGTTGCTGATTCGGCGGGGAAAGATTCCTCCGGGTGGGCGTAAGCAAATACGACAGGACTAGATTCTCCAGGTGGTTGCTCCGGAAGCACTTGTGGCAGAGCGTATGTCCACACTGGGGCCATCAGCTTTGATCCACGGGCAGAGACAGAGCCACGGCCCGGGGCCGACTTCGACATGGAAGTTGACGCAGCCTCTCTCATCGGAAGCTTTCCGGTTGGTGAGACTGGCGAGTTATCATGCTGAGGAATATCGCGGGTGGGGCTATCACTGGGGGCCTGTAGTTTAGAACCACCATCGAGATTGCGACCCAGCACGTTCATCAAGAAGTCACTCTCCGATGTTGATATGACTGTGACTGATCCAGCGGAGTCACATCGCAGTCGGAAAAGTAGCTTTAACACCGTCAAACGAGAGTCTATTGGTCGACTTGGAGATTGAGCAATGTCTAGAAGTGCCTCGAAAACCATCACAGCTTTGGTTGAGGAGAGGTTCAAGGCACGCAACATCATCTTCACAAGGCCCACAGCACAGACATTTGTCAGGCTTAACTCCAATACACTAGTGGTGGATGTACGGCGTTGAGATCCATGGCTCGGAGGATGCTCGCGCGGTTCGTCTCGATTAAGTTCCGTCTGCATCGGTGCTCCAATGGTGCTTATCAGCAACTTGAACGCATCATCATCACTGTGTTGTATCGCCGGGCCGGTTAACAAAGATACTAGGGACTCCAAGAAGAGAAGATCGTGTTCTGCCGAGAAATCCTTCAATAGAAGCCCGAGAAGACCGTGGTCCTGGGAGAAAAGCAAATCCTCATGGCCGGAAAGAGCTTCTTTCAACGTGTCCAAAGCTAGGATGCGGATGTCCGAGCTTTGTTTTCGTGGTTGAACGAAACACTCGACCAGCTCACGGCAATGTTGAGCCCAA